CCTGTCTTCAATCTAATCATTGGAGACACCGCTACAACCCTGCAGGAATAACTGGATATTGTCAATGGATAGATCATCCTGCCTTGCCTATTTGCTTTGAATCTGTCTTTTTCAACCCTGGTCCTCAAGGCACCCTGCCCTGCATGTTTTAGATGTTTCCCAGCTTTCACACACCTGTTATCAATTGATAGCAGATTATCAGGCTTTGCTGAACTGCAATCAGCTGAATCAGGTGTGCTGAAGCTCAGAAACATCCAAAACATGCAGAGCAGTGTGCCTTGAGGACCAGGGTTGAAAAACACTGCTTTAAATGACCCAAAAATAATTTGGAAAGGATAGTTAGCTGAAGAAACAATCTGGTTTTGAAGCTACAATTACAGTAAAATCATTAGAAAACAGTTGTTTTTAATATTAGAGGAGTTAAACAGCTGCTCTGACTGGCCTCGGATGCCACTGCTTTTAAAGTAAGATGTACGACTAAGAAAAGTCAGCAGGCCGAAGGGGTTATAGCTTATTTTACTAACTGATTTATCCTTAACGTCATGCATTATAAAAGAAAACCCGAGGAACAAACGTTAAGTCAGCATCTGTAGCCACGCAGGTCAAAAAGAACAAGCAGCAAGATAAGACTCATCTCCTTTTATTCCCTGGAAACACAAACACTGTCCAGAATCATTAATTTATTTACACACATCTCATCATTTTACAGGACATATTTACAAATGCATATATTATAATCACAGCTTGAGTATTCCACCAAAGAGGAACCGGGCAATCGTTGCAGCACATTAGACATCAGATTTACTTTTTTCTTCTTTTTTTTTAACTTTGACAGATCAGCACATAATAAACAGCATTTCTTCATACTCAGTGAAACACGACTTCAGATCCAAAGCTGGAACACATTAATCTTTGACCAGTGAGTATCCAGCATGATTATTTTTAGGGTTTGGGGGGCAATCTGACAAAGCTCGTTAGAATACCGTAACACCAGGAGTGACATCAGGTTTCAATTGCCTGCTTGTTTACAAACTGATCCAGTTTGGTAAAAAAGCATGATCTGATTCAGTAGTCTCATCAGAAGCACTTGCTGCTGTAGCAGCAAGGCTTCTAGGTCTCCGTGTCCTCGATGGTATGACTTTCAGCTCTATCTTTATTCACATAGCGGTGCACTTTTTTTGTACAGCCTCAGGGGTGAATGACCACAGGATCTGCCTGCAACCATTCAAGCCCCTTTATAACAAGAAAAGCGAATAAAAGGCAGGCTTATCTTCTGTGGCGGGCAGCAGCAAATGAGATCAGATGAAGTGAGAGGAAACGGAGCATTGTGTGACAGAGTTGCTCTTTAACCTTCTACTTGAAGGGTTTGGATATTTGAGCTAAGTATGCTTTAGGTATCGGGCTGAATCTGAAAAGGGAAAAAAATGGCTTTGATGGTTCCTCTAACAAGCCTAGGCGGCTAGAGGATGTCCAAAGAGCAGGAGAGGTTAACGAAGGCACCACATGCAGAACTTTTAATATTCAAATTCGCAGACAAAGAAAGGGAGAAACAAAACACCAGCAGGCTCTCTGAAGAAAATGTAAAGTGTAGGAATGGAACTGCATTGCACTTTGTCCCCGGATATTTTTTCCTTGAATTGCCTGAGCTCCTGCTACTAAACCCCTGCTCTTTCATTCTTCTTCTATTGATCTGAGTCCATGCTACAGAAAAAGGAGTGTATAAAATGATCTGTTTTCCAACTAAAATCACTTCCTAAATGGAGTGCAAAGACACTTTTCTGTATCCAAGGTCTAAAAAAAGGGATGCTTACAGTTCAAAAAAGAAGAGATCTCAATAAGTAATTTTTCCTTAAAATAACTGAATTATTTTTTTTGAATTGCGGATCTAAGTCAGATACTTTTCAAATGGAACAAGACAATCTAAATTTAAAATAATAAACAATTGCATTGTCTTATTTCAATTGCATATTATCTAATTATCTTTTTTTAAGAGTAAAAATCTCATTCCATTGGAAAAAAATCTTATTTACCTGCTCAAATTAAGGCTAAATAAAAATTATTTTGCAGTGTAAAATGCCACAAAACATTTCAGATTCTTAATACATGAAGATGGGTTGTTTCTAAAAGGGTTCATTATAAACCAGACAGATTTTAGTGGAAAATACAAAAAAATAAAAATATGAGTATTAATAATTGCAGCTCTGTTTAAAGGTTAAAGGCAGTCAATAACTTTATTTTAACCTTACAATTGGTCTGTGCTGGAGGCTAAAGCTAACAGCTTGTGTGAGAGGCGTCTTTAATAAAGCGGACCAACATCTTTACCGGAATAAAATATCATACTGGTTAAGATCAATGTGATCAATATTACTAACCATGTAATGGATGATGCAAATAAATTGACTAATATTCACAAAGGAAATGGAAATAGCAGAGGTTTCGACATAAATGACCTTCCTGTATAGATCAATATAATCAAATTTTTTTTTTTTACAGCTACTGTAGAAACATCATAGGTGGAATTTCAAAGTTTGCTAGGATTTATTTGCAAATCAAACACAAATATATTCAAAGTAATGTATTGGAATTAGTAATCATTTCACCCAGCTAACATACTAGCTCCCTATTGTGGAACAAGCCACCAAGCCCCACAGTAACTGCTACACTGTAAAAAAAAAAAAAAAAAAAAAAACGTGTTACTTTAACACCAACAGAGTTGAATATAACTCTGTGCCAGATAACTTTTGGTCCCACTCTGAATTACTGTCAAATTTACTCTATAGCCAGTGTCAACTTTTCAATTTTTACTCATTTTAGTGTCAAAAATCAAGAAGACCTCTCTGAGACTGGCAGGTAATTGACACCATATAGAGTAAAAGTTACACTGCATGGCTGTCAATTTTATCACCGACTATTAACTCCGAGATTTACAATCAGTATAGTTTTAAATACTCTATTTAGAGTAAAACTGGTTTAATATGAATTTTTAACAACCATTTTTCACTGTGTATTATAGTTGCATATGAATTATAATAATGTGCTAAAACAGTGTAAATATATATTTTTTTGGGGGGGTATTACATTTTAGATTTGATTACAAGGTAAGGTGTGATGAAAACCACAGCTTTCTCCTTTAAAATTTGAACTTTTAGTGATCGTTATGTTAATGTTTCCAAATTAACGTTGTAGGAAACACGTAATTTCCAACCTCCTGATGTTTTACCATTTTAATGCAAACTAGATGATTGCTAATGTGGCGGAGCAATGACTGCTTATTAAAAAAAAAAAATCATAAACTTTCCCTTAAACATTGCGGTACTTTGAAAATGTAGTAATACTAAGGTGCCTTTAGTTATTGAAAGTTTGAGTTTCATTATCTTTCATTTAACTTTGCATGTAAATGACGAACCAATGCAAACATTAGGATAGTTTGAGAAAGTATAAAAAACTATTGAGTCATTGATATTGGAGTTTGGTAGGTATTACAAGTCTTGCAGTAGTGAGGTATTACAAGTCTTGCAGTAGTGAGGATAACCAAGACCAAAGATAAAGATCCATTGTGCATTCATTAAGCACAATTTGTGTCACCAAGGCTTTGAGTTTGTGTCACTTTTGGCGTAAACCTGTTCAGCATGTGTTTGTATTCGAATAATGGGTTTAAAATTTAGTTTTCTATTGCAGGACAGGGGAAAATCACTTTTGTTGTCAAGTTTTATTCGAGATTTTATTCCCGACTGGAGAAACAGCTGTAGTCACAATCTATTAGTGTTTCCAATTGGTCAGATAATTATCAGTTATATTGATTAAAAAATGTTAGTTGGAACCACTTCAGGTGGGATCTCGGCAAAGACTTGGCACCCAGAGACCATCAAATAAATAAATTATAGAGTCATAAAGCAGCATGGATAAACATAAGATCAACATTTTGAAGCAACAAATTCTCTCTTCTTTAGCCACTGTAATGCTAACTAGACGATTACTAATGTGACGGAGTGATGACTGCTTATATAACCTTTGAACAAAGCTTCAAAATTTCTAAACTTTCCCTTAAGAACAATAAACTAGATAGAAAAAAAATCATCCTGATAATAAAAACTAAAACACATATGTATGAAATAAGAAAATATATTAGATTAATTCAAAGGAAGAAAAAAAAATACATTCAGTGTGGCAAAATTTAAGACCAGCTGTACAATTCAAACCCCTCGTAAGAAATTACATTTAATCTGAGACTAACTCAAAGTTAATGCAGCTGAAGAGCAGGTGGCGTTATGCTGTCGGCTACAGGGAAACATTACAAAGATGCTTCATGAAATCGAGCACCTGTGCCTTACAGACGGGCGGCTTGGCTGATGAGAGTCAGCTCGCTCCGCCGGCTCGGCCGTAAGTGCTGCTCAGGGCGAGGAAAAAAGAAAACAAACAGAAGCAAAATGCAGCAGAGGAAAACAGGCTGCCCTAAAGCCGGGGCCGACCTCTCCTTTGTTGTAGTTTTGCTTCAAACGTCCAGCTGAAGAGTCAAAATATATCTGATGTTCTGGAAAACTGCCCATGATCTTTTAAGTTTATTTTCTTTCAGGATTCCTACACATCTTTCTTGACTATAGAGAAAAATCCAGAATTAATGTCTCAAGTTTCTTTCCTTCGGATTCATTTTGATATTTAAAACAAGTTTATTTTCTTTGACTGACATTTCTAAAATTAGCAGGCTTGGAAACTGGAAATAAAATAAACAGGAAGGAAGAAAGGACACATGGAGGAAACGTGCAAAGGAGGGAGGAAAGAGAGGACGTAGACACCATGAAAGAGGTGAGGTAGGAGGAAGTAAAGGAAGACAAAGGTGAAAATATACGAAAAAATCTAGAGAAAGAAGCAGAAAGGAAAAAATAAATAAATCAGAAAATAAGAGTGGGACATTGAATAAAATCTAAAAATGAATATTTTTCCCTCCTTCCTTTTTAGACCTGGAAATCAATAATAAAAAAAAAAGCAGAATTTTACCAAAATGCATAGGAACCCTGGATTGTTTTTACTGGCAGTTTCCAAAGAGGTTTCTCTAAACATTCACAATACTGCCTCGAGATAGTTCAAGTCTGAAGCGATAATCCCAAAGAGTTTCTCTTGGCATTCTTTAGGGAGAAAAATGTGGGCCATAGGAAAAGTTCTTCTGTCAGGTTCTATAAATAGAGGTGGCACAATGCGGATGGAGTAGCAACTGTTCAAGTAAGCTCAGACATTTCCTCCGATTGGACGGAAACGGTTCAAGAGGTCCCACATCTCACTGGCACTTACGACGTACTATCTGCTCCTTCATTTGTCGGGAATAGAAACAGAAGTTGCTCAAGGAGTTCATTTTTACTTCTTCCGGACTCCGTCTTCTGGACTCTTCTGTTGCTTTATGAGTTTTTCAATCTCAGATCCCAGAGTCTGCAGATTCTCCTGCACAAGACACACAAATAAAGGAAAAGGTAGAAAATACAAACATTAAGCAGAGACATTTTCTGCACTTTTTGTTTTACATAGAAGCAGTTTTTGTTATTTAATGTCACTGCTTTTGTCTTGTTGTCATGTTATTGTGCTTCTAGTGAGCGTTTCATATCATTACTTCCAATCGTTGACGGTTCTTTGGCTGGAAAAGAAGATACTCTCCCGCATTCTAACAATTTGACACAACAGAAAGCTGATTGGCTGCGAAATGTGAAAATATTTATCCGAGCTTTAGCCCACATCCTTTTTAGAGAGCAAACAGACAAACGCTGTGAAAGCTGTGACAATGCGTGTAGACAGGATGGTGACATGCTCTGAAAGTGTGGGCGCGATGGAAGCCAGAGGAGGGGCGGGCATTCTTCTGACGAGGGCTCTATTTTAACTTTGTCTGCAGAGCTGCTGTTGATGTAAAGCTGTGATGAATACCTCAATATCACAGCTCTGTTGAAAACGAAACTGTCATTTTATTTTTCTCCACTTTCCTCTTTTCTTTATTGTGATATTTTACCAACAAGACGATCAAAAACAAAGCGTTTATATGATGGCTATCCATTCTGTCCATGTAAAGTTTTCCGTACTACTGATCAGATGCGTGACTTTCCATTCATAACAGGAACAAAAAAATATGTTTCCTTCACACAAAAATACTGGTTTATTGATTGAATTTTATTGATCTCACATTGGAGAACGTTATTTCTGCATTGGGGAGCAGGGGGGGTGTCAGTCTGTGGGAGTGGGACCCGAACTCAGAACTTCAGAATTCCAAGCTCTATGCCCTAACCACTAGGCCACCTCTACCCTTACATCTCATCACATCATAACCAACAACATTTCCATTTAGGGCGAGTTAATCTGATAGATTAAAACATTGTGCAGCTTAATTCCAGCTAGATTAACATGATGCAAACCATTCAAGAAAAAACTGAATTCAGAAGAATGAACAGCTAAAGTTTTCAGATTGAAAAGAGGACATTTATGAACTTCAAATGTTGAATCTTCTCAGACTCTCAACTGGACTTTGACTAGGCCTCTTTAATGAATGAATATGCTTTGATCTAAACTATTCTGCGGTTCCTTTAATAACCTAACCCTGCTTTAAACTTTCACACCACTTTATGCCAGACCCTCCCTAAAGTTTTCCTTGGTCATCATGATGCAGTTGGTTCACTAACGCTCTCCTGCAAACCTCTGAGGAGCTTCACAGAACAGCTTAATGTGGAGGTTAAACATCATAGAGGTGGATTAGTCATACTAATGACTTCTGAAGGCAGTTAATTGCATTGGGTGGCATCTAGGGATTTCTGAGTGAACAGGGCCTAAATAATAATGCAGGTAGGTTTTTTTTTATTTTATTCAGAAAATCAATGTAAAATGTATTTATGCCACTAACAATAACACACCATTTTGTGTAGGTTTATTAAATTCAATTCCTTATATATAAAAAAAGATAAAAAACTTAAAATAAGCTGAATGAGAGGAAGAAATAAGAACAAAGTTAAAGGGAAAAATACTGTTTGAATCTAAAAGTAAAGCTCCAACATAAGGTTTCTTTTGCAAAGAAGGAAAACTGCTCTGTTATCCAGAATTGAATGAGCAAAAGAAAACCCAACTAAATGAAGGATGATAGCATACAGACGCTCTGATTACGGAGTCATTCGGAGTCAGACCGGTTTAAAAATTGATGAGATGTGCTGAATGCTCTGAAAAAGAAACAAACCTAAACATAAAATAGAGAGAGAAAAAAACAAAACAAAAAACATTTGAGCATTATTCTCTGAAATGTTGATATATCCTGCTGTCCGCTGAATTTCAAAATGCGACCCTCTGCCCTGAGAATTAATCCTTTCTTCTTTTATCTTTGGTTTTCTGAAAAGCCGTTTTAAATTTGCTTCTGACCACGATAAGTTAGGACACTAATGGCTTCATTCATCTTCGACACTATTCAGTCATTCACACGTTGGTCACTTGGCTGATAATGCACCTCAAGCTTCACTCAGACGTGTGTGTTAATAGTGATTTAAAAAACCGCGAATAATGTTCATTATTTAAAGCAGATAAAAACTGCTCACTATGCAAGACGAGCTGCAAAACAATTATATTTTTGTGTATATATATATATATATATATATATATATATATATACACACACACACACACACACACACACACACACACACACACACACACCACATACATACATACATTTATAGACAAACACATACACAGACACAGCAATTGAGAAAATTGGAAGGAGAGACATACTTAGGAAGTGTTTTAATTCAATTCCAGACTTTTAAAGGCTGTATTGGAGCCCTGATTTAAACTTCAAATGGATAAAATGTTCCACTTTTATAAATCAAACATTTGGAGCTTGAATAAAACTGGTGATGAATAAAGTGCCGCTAAAAAAAAACAAAAAACACACACTAGAAAACAGCATGTAGCTACATTGGATTTGCGGTTTGGTGAAAGGCCATCATTACAAGAAAAAAATTATTAAAAGAAAATAATTCTTGGAAAAATCAGACTGGATGGGAACACTGGGAGAACATGACAGATGGCCAGACAGGCAGAGATCTTCAGCTGCAGCTCAAAGGATTTAATCAAAGTTTTGTCACACTAATTTCACTCCTATAACTAGGGAAAATGTCCAAGATGACTATGTGCTGCAGGAAATAATTGACAAATACAACCATGAATGGGAAAAGCTCACCTATTGTTCCTGCATGAACCTGCAGAAATGAGCAAACTTTGCCGAGCCTCACTTCTACTGCTAAAAGCAGCAGGGGAGTGAGTGAGACATCCATGTTCTAAATCGGTTTTGATTGAGTCAATAAGGAAACTGTTCTGAGCTCACTTTAAGGTCAATTACTCAATCCATATCAAAGAGCCTTGAAGAGGTACGCTCACACATCATCAATGCTGCGTAAGACCTTCATTCAATTTCTCTCTCTCTACAAAGTGGACCATCTCTGTGGACTGATGCACACTTGGGAAATATTTACCTTCAGAGTAATGTTCTTCAGCAGTGTGTCCTCCAGCACTGCCTGCAGCTTCCGGTTAATCTCCAGAGACAGGTCCAGGGTCAGCCCGCTGTCCGCCGGGTGGGAGGTGTAAAGCGAAGCCATGATGCCGCCCCGCCGGCTGAGGTGGGCCTTGTTAATGTCTGAAGCTTCTGATGAGAGGGCCCCTGACTCCTCTCTAAGCACGTAGCTCTGGATAATTCTGTGGGGAACAAACAGAAGGAAGGTGGGGAGCGATGAGTCAAACCTTCCTCTGATAAAGGAGAAGAAACAAACTGGGTGCGCGGTATCAGCTGCAGACTGTAAGGGAGGGGGGGGAGGTTTAGTCGAAAAGCATGGGGAGCTTCAAACAGAGCAATAAAGCATTGTGTAGCAGAAAAGGCCAGGGACTGTACAGGAATAGCAATTCTGCGAGGGATTGCTTATTGGACCCATGAGTGCAGGAGCCATTCAGTCATGGACAGATTATTACTGTGCCTGTCAGAAAACAGAAAGGTAATAAAAACAGCGGGATTACAACGGGCTGCAGATTCAATTAATTGCCTGCTTGTATCCGTTTATAAGAGAGAGCGGGATAAATCTTCACGCACAGGATCCCGTTTCACCTCAATAACTGTTTGGAGGCTAAGCAGCACTTGTTTTACAGAAGGACCCAAAGAATTCATTAACCTAACAGCACAAACTTCTCGTTTCAGACGGAAAATAACTGACCCACACACAAGCCATAGCTGATGTTGATTTCAAACGTTAAAGAGAAAAGATCCGTTCTGTCCTCGGGGTAAAAACGGCACCATTTTTTTTTCTTCTTGTTTTCTCCAAAGAAACTCAGTAAATTGTTGAAAACAGAAGGACTCTGAAGGGAGTCTGGCAGAAAAGGTCAACAATCCCACCGTTTTGGAGATGGATCAAGAATCAATATTTTAACATCTCTTCGAACCCAACCCCATACCTCCCAGGCATGAAAGATTCAAAACAACCAGTCCACCACTGCTATTGTTTTACCTCTGATCCATGGTGGGTTAAAAAGAGAAGATTCAAAGGTCAATATGAGCCCAAAAAAGGATCTTAGCTAAAGAAACATTTATGAGACTTTAATGGGTTTCATGAAACAACTGCGGTCAACGACATTGGGTGGTGAACCAACACAAGGTCGCCCTACAAAAAAATTTAACTAATCATAGTCAAAGACCTGCATCCATATTCAGCCTCTTTACTCTGGAACTCCTAAATAAAACCAACAGAAATCAACTTATAAAGTCACCTGTGTTTGACTTTGAATCGCACCAACGGCCTCCAAGGTTTGTTAGAGAACATTAGTGAACAAACAGCGTGATGAAGAACATTGTAAAAGTCACAAATAATATAAGAAGCGAACATCTCAGAGTATTTTTTGATCAGAAAGACTTAAACAGCTTCATATTAAACAGCCACAGAGAACAATGATCAGAAGCACCTGTAAACTCTGGAGGAGATGCTGAGATTCACAGCTCAGGTAGGAGTTTGTAATTTATTAAGAGAAAGCAGCAACAATTCCTGTTTTAAATTTACAAAAGTAGGCGACCGGATAAAAATTTTGTTAGTTCAAAGATTAACATGAGATTTAAATACAGCTTTCTGACCTGGATGCATAATTTCTTGTGGAGACAAAAAGCAAACACCAAATCCATCCCCACACAGTAAACCAAACAGGCATCAGGCTAAGAGAAGCTATAATAGCCTACAAACTAGGGAAAACTTTAATTTGGGGAATGGTTCAGATCAAAGCATATCCATAACTTAAATTCCCTACGTTAAAGTTCAGACCTATCCGATATACTGAAAGACTTAAAAAAGACAAATAAGCTAGCTGAGAGTCATGCTGCAGCTTTTATTCCCCTCTCAAGTTATTCATCAGTTATCATGCAGTGAGTGTCAGCTCTGAACCCAAACACCCATAGGAAAAATTCTTGAAAATAATAGAGATTGGTGTCCTGACAAGTTTCATCAACCTCATCTCCAGACGGCATGTTGAAAACCATCTGAACCGAGCTGAAATATATCAGAGCTGTAGGGTTGTACATTTCAGAATGCAACGCGTTAAAACAAAACTCAGTGTCTGGAATAATTTGTTGGCCGTGCTGGGATCAAAGCTAAAGGATGGGTGTTTTATTTCCTGGGAAAAATGGGGCTTATCAACCAGAGTGCAGACCATGTACTATGTTTTAGCATTGTCTATATATAAAAGGATAATAGCAGTGTAGAAGACAGACAAGACTATAAAAAAATAATGACAGAGCCAACTACTATAGCAGCCATTTGACCTACTTCTTTTGTTTTAAAGATAAGTGGAAAATGGGAACTATAATAAAATGGTTGCTAATCACAAAACCAACTGAAGTGGTTTACATCTTACATGTGAAACAAAAGGTTCAGTGTCTGTAGAAACCAAATCATGCCTGTTTAACTAATATGTGGGGTCCCTCAAAGCTCTGTCTAAGGCCCCCTTTTTTTATATTTGCTCTTTTAGTCAAACTGCATTTAGCTGATTAGAACAAGTAACTTCTGGATATCTTCTCATTACCTAGAAAGGCACGGTTCCTCTGATCAGGAAGTATTTCACTGGCCATTAAACCAAACTTAAGGAATTTGGTTTCTTGTTTTTAACCAATCAATGTCTCTTTCAGATCAAACTGAAAATAACTTGCCCAAATTGGAAGTAATTTGACAAATATTTCTAAACGTCTTCTACTTGAAAACTTTTTTGAGTCCAACTGGCCCCTTTTCACATGTATATAAAAAAAGTCCTTGATTTCATTTGATTTCTCCAAACTGCCGCAAGACTCTTGACCTGAACAAACAATAGAGCTCACAAAACTCCTGGTTTAATATCACTGGTTGCCTAGCCTCGTGAGACCATCCTGATCTCGCGAGCTTTCAAGGTTTCAATCGCAGATCAGTCTGGCTACTTTCCGTTAAAGAAAATTTGGAGCCGTTCGCCAAACGAACGTCCAATCAGCGTTAACTTTGAGGCGGGTTGAGGTGTGATGCAACGAGAAGCGCAACAGTTCAGTCTAAAGAACATGGCGGCTTCAGCCGATTAAACTAGCGTTAGCGTGGCTATCGAGTAAGTTTTATCGGAATTACAGAGTATTTCTTCACTGAAAGAAGAGCAAAACACTGCTCTGGAGGTTTTTTTCAGAGGAAAAGATGTTTTTGCTCTTCTCCCGACTGGTTTCGGCAAGAGTTTGATCTTGTGGTTGTGTTTTCGTCGTGGCTCTGTTAGTACGTCATATGCTTCGTTGATCTGATTGGTTTATTTGGCCCGTCTATCACCAACATAGGCCAATCAGCTAACCAGTATTTTCGTCCCTTCCCAAAATTACTTCAATGGAAGGTTTCCAGATGGATATGCGGAGAAAATCCAGCAAATCCATCTGGTGGAGTCAGGTTACTGGTTGCCTGCTTATTTATAAAACATTTTAAAGTGCAAATTTCAAATTTCAGTATCCTGAATAGACCCTTAAACCAAAATCCATTCATAGTCGCAAATACCAGATATAAAGCTGAAGGGGTTATCCGTTTTCCACCAATTCTTTCATTTTAAGTTGTCTTGATAATGTGGAAAAAAGGAACAGAAGACTATTTTTATTAAGAATGTCTACCACTTTTTCTACCATGTTTCAATCTCTATACAATCTAAGGCATTTTAGATTTTTATCTGAGGGACATCCTTAATGTATAAAATTCCCTTACTTACTAAAGTAATTAATTCAAGAGGTGATCCTCTTCTTGTGGGTAGTGACACTAACTTCCCAATAAAAGTCAAAAACTGTTGACCTTATTAATCTGAACCAATTATAAAAGCATAACCCCACCCCAACAAACCAGACAAAAATCTAAAAATGCCACCAAAGATGGCAGTGTGAAACAGATACTATGGGGTGAAGGGATGAGTGAAAGGGTTAAATGGGGGTGTGTTCAGGATGAGGGAAACCGGCAATGACTTTGACGTGACAAAACAAGCAAAGTATCTAAATGAAACTCTACGCCGCCCTATAGGTAAAATGCTATTGATCTATGCCTGAATTTCTAACTCCTGACTCGCCATAATGGCGCGTTTTGGAGTGAGATGGTTTTATGAAGGGATCAGAATAAGTAAACCACCTTTTCCTATTCTCCATATTCTCCACCATGAGACACTACAATGGCAATAACTTGTGCAATTTATGTGCAATTACTATTTGATACCATGTGCAATAACCTGCCTCTGTATATTTGACACCCTGTGCAATAACTATATATTTCTACATATAAATACCCATGTAAACACCCTGTGAAATAACCCTGTATAAAAATCCTACCATAAAAAAATATTACAAAAGCAGTCATATGTGGATGCACTGTATATACTGTATATATCCCATGCACCTTTTTTACCTTCTTCTTCTCCTTTGACTATTTGAGCTAAAGTACATTTTTCTACTATGAGATCAATTAAGTCAATCAAACAATCAATAATTAAGTTTTTGACTTTGTCGTATATGTTGTAGTAGTCATGTATAAACAATGGAGAATGTAAGCAGGAAACTGGAATAATGTCGCCCCAATTCACTGATTTAAGTTCACAGGTGAATCAAACACACCAACATGTCCAAATGTGGGGCTGTGACTCACCATGCTCCAATTTAACCAGCATAAAAAATTCAACAGAGTTCAGTTTAGTTCAGCTTTAATAATCCACGAAGTGTTTAACACAAAAAGCAGGATCTTAGGAACAGAGATGGCAAAAGTACTCACTTTCCGTACTTGAGTAAAAGTACAGATACTTGTGTTAAAAAATACTCTGGTAAAAGTGGAAGTACTGATTAAACTTCTTTACTCAAGTAAAAGTAACAAAGTACAGGCTTGTAAATTTACTTAAAGTATAAAAGTAAAAGTAGAAACCACTTTTTTCATGCCGTTGCCTACATTCTAAATGGATGTCTGCCAATAGGACTAGATCTCCGTTGTGTTCATTTTCAATCATCTCGTCGTCCATGCTACTATGCTAACGCCACTGCCACCAAGCTGCAATGATTTGCCGCTAATGAATACCGCCGAATCTGTCGATTCATCTTGTAGTGGTGCGTCAAATGCAACGTAGATTCCCATCCAATTAGATTGAATTTGGTATTGATGACGTGAAAAATAATAACGGTAACTCCATTGAAATGATTCAAAACTAAAGTAACGAGCCAATTTTTTAAAATGTAAGGAGTAGAAAGTACAGATATTTGTGTAAAAATGTAAGGAGTAGAAGTAAAAAGTCGCAATAAAAATAAGTAGTAAAGTAAAGTAAAAATATCAGAAAAATCTACTTGAGTACAGTAACAAAGTATTTGTACTTCGTTACTTCCCACCTCTGCTTAGGAATAATTTCATGCAAATAATATGGAGGTCACTACTATTTGCATGCAAAAGCCTAAATCTGACAAAAAGTGGTTCTTTCTGATGAGAGGATTATGATTAGCATGCAGCTCAAGCAGTTGATTAGCTCCTCCCCATTCTGGCATGCAGCTACAATGTGTTTGAGTTAAATACTGTCCTAGAGGTTTCCTTTCTAAATACCCTCAAAAGAAAAAGTCTGAAAGTTGAACACAATACAAGCCTACACCTGCCACTGTGAGGTGACTGTAAACGACTGACGCAACTCAGGTGCATCCTAACCATCGAGAATATAACTCACAAACAGTTAATTGAAATTATTCATATGAATTATTGAAATCGATTTGATTGAAATACTCATTGAGTGAAGAATTTGAATCATGTGACTCAATGAAAACCAAATATTCTTTTTCTCACTTAGCCTAAGGAAAAGTACTGTACAGTATTAGTACTCAATACTTGGTCAGGATTCCTTTAACCGAATGACTACTGGCTCTCCTGTCTCATCGTTCTAGCAGCACTTAAAGGATTATCTGTAGAGTTTGCTGGTCAATCCAACACAGTAATAAGCATGGCCATTAATGCAGATAATGCTACTTTTGTCAATGTGAATTGGTATATAAGAAATCAGTGACTTAATATCAAGATTTTTAGCAAAAACTCATTTAGTGATAGAAAATAGTGGAAGGTCTCACATTAAACTAACATCCTTGAATGACTTGGCTGCTGCCAAACCCTTCATCTAACTCAGATTTCCAGGTTAAATTCAAAATGTATATAGAAAACTTTCTTCAACTCAACCTTCCATTTATATCTTTGGATCTATCACATCTTCAACAGCTCCTACTTTGGATTACCGTCCGTGTGGAGGGTGTGAGCCACTAATTGCTGGACTTCTGTCAAGTCAGCAGTCTCCTATGATTTTGGATGCTGCCACATAAGATTTCATATAGTTAATTCTTTTAATTTTCCTTCTGAAAAAGAACACTCTCAGCTTCTTTAAACAATTTCTTTCATGCATTAAATGCCACAACTCTTTCTGAGAAACAGAATTTTGGATTTTCTTAACAAAACTCTATTAATCACTCCATTAATAATGAGTCTGTTTAACTATTTAAGCAAATTACCAAAATAAATTAACTTAAATGACATTCTAGTTTATTGTGATGAGGCTGTAAATCTAGGGAGCAAAATGTAAATATAATCAGTAGGTCAATAAAGCTGCAGAAGAAGCCGCCACCAAATACGTCCCTCATCCCTCCACTTTCACACTCACAAATACAACACCTGAGCTAGCACAGACAGGAAATGAAACTTACCTCTGACTAGGCTTTCATAAGGTCCAACTATGGACCCCAAATCCATCACGATAGTTTTTAGTAAAAAAAAGAAAAAAAAAAAGCGACATAAATTAAACATGTGGCTGCATGAAGAGACAAACCACATGCAAAGGTTAGCAGGGGGTAAGTTGGGGTAACAGATGTGAGAAACGGGTTAGAAACATGCAAGATGGCAATTTCTACAATATATAACTCCAGTTTTTATGAATAACAAACATGTAGATGCGTATTGAGAGAGTGGGAATATTAGCCAAGAAGATGTGAAGAGAGAGGGAAGAAAAATATATATCTCTGCAGTTGTTATCCAATAGTTATTGAATTTATATTTTATCTGAAATTGATTTTAATTTACAAAAACCAAAGCAAGAAATCTTAAGATAATTAACTTTTCACGTACCGATAAAATCAGAACAGTCATGGATGCTTGTCTATGTTTTGATGATGACGGGACAAAATGCAGGAAGAGCCAATATACCAAACTAAATGGTGCAACGTATTTATAAACAGATAATTAAGTATCATAAAAAGTCACTCCTGCTCTTAATTACTAATTATTAGCAATTAATTCCAGTCACATAATTAGCCCACTACGTTTTACGGTCTACGTTTTCTGGTTTTTCATATTTAAATGTGGCTGATTTATATTAAGTCTACCATTCAGCCTGTAGCCATTGAGTCTGACTTTTTTAAACAGAGTTTTGATGCAGCACAAGGAAAACATGTAAAAAAAAATTAAAAAAATCACCTGATGAGGGAGATCAGATCCCTGTTCAATTAGACTTAAAATTTAAGACCCCCACGTCACAATAAACCTATAATTGAATTTAACGTGACAGTGATAGGCCTAGAATACTACAGTTTCATTTTTAACAATATAAATCTGTAAAGTGTGGAGGGCATTTGTATTAAGTAAAAATCCTGGAAGCAGATTTAGCAGGGTTACAGCAGCAGGTCTGTGGGGCTTTGTTGATCTAAAATCTGACATTTTTACCCGTTCTATTTGAAGAACAACTAAGGGTTTGTTTTTTTTTTTCAAATATTGCCACAGAACCTCATTTTGACGCATTTCTGGACTTTGACGAGGTCATTCAAACAAGTGAGCTTTAATATAAACTAGGGCTGAAACAATTAATCAGATTAAACGATTATTTAAATAATCTAATTTAGTAATCGATTCATTGTTAACTGGAATGTAGACTCTAAAACATGCTTTTAGCTGATGGAGCAAAACACCTTGAGCAGCAATTATACCAAAAAAAAAATAAAAAATTAAAAAATTGTAAACATTTTGCATTTAAGATTAAAAAAAAACTTTTTTGTCCACCAATATGCTCTATCCAGAACTCCTCAAATGGAAAAGCTTTAGTTTCACCTGCAGAAAGTCTTCTTTAAGGAACCTTTGGCTATCATATTATAAATCGATCAATCAAAAAAATAAAAAATAATCAACAGATTAATAAATTAGCAAAATAATCATTAGTTGCAGCCCTAATATAAACCATTCCTTTAAAGTTTCACTGTAAGATTAAAACCTTTTGCCTCCATATTCAGGTCTTCTGCAGCCTTCAGCAGGCTTTCCTCCACAGCTGCATTTATTTAGCCCCATGCTTCTTGTCCCAGCTGCATTAGACCATACTTGCAGGATGATACTTCCACCACCATGTTTCACTGCAGGTTATAGTGTTAAGAGTGATGTGCCACCTAAGGTTTCCCTCACATACAGGGCATGATATTTCATAATTTTAAATACGAAGTGCTAAATTGCCCATAAAATACATGCACTAGTAATCAGTGGGTGTGTTGCTGGGGATCTACAATGATTGTGGAATAATGAGTTGTAAAATGTTCACATCGCCCTATTTAAATAAGAAAAAAGTAAGAAAAACACCTAAATACAAAACAGTAATATTTTTAGATGGTTATTTCTACTCTACTCAGAGAGATTTTAAAATGTAATGTAAGAGCCGAAGGACGCCGCAATAAAAAACAGAATTCCACACTACAGACTGACGTTTGCTTTAAAATGAAAGGAGCAGGATGCAGGTTTTATACAGAACTTTCAGTTTGGGTCCAAAAAAGAAAGACCCCCTTTGCCATTGAAAATAAGAAAGGTTAAACTTTGGGGTTTTGTTCCGTATTCATGCACCACTTGGTGTCGGTGAAAGAGATACAGACCCCCTTTGTGTCATTCAACTAGTTGTAAGTCGACATACAATCACAAAAGTTAGGAAAATATTTTATGAAGGTTGAGAAGTTACTCTGTGTTGCTTTAAAATTATTTCTTCTGGTCTATTACATCAGATCAAATCAAATACATAGTTTGGAGTTCTTGTAAAACAAAGTTGCAGCCCTACACTTAATTAATCTTTTTTTTTCTTCCTAAGCCCTCAGTGTTGTTTAAATAATATGGAAAAACATCAATCAATGGTTCTCTGATTTGTCATCCCATTCTGCAACTTCAAAGTTAGCATTCAAGATGCAAAAATGCATTTGATGACACGATGCAAAGTTATGACTTTTTTTTTTTTATAGTAACCACCCCTGATCCTTCCATAAATCTTGTTCTGGTATTCATCATCTTCCTCAGGTTTACATTTTCACCTAGCTGTCCTGAAGAGGATAGGGACAGAGAGGGGGGAAAAAAAGAAAAACTAATTCACATCCATACTCTGGGTGGTGTTACACCCCCCGGGCTTTACTGAGATCCTGCCAATCTAAATTTAGCACCGAACCGTGGGATTTGTCCTCGATTTTAACTCTTGAATGTAGGTTGAGTCTAATAGATTCGAGAGCAGAGAGGCAAAGAAATCAGAAGGTGAGGCACAGGACTCGTTCCAAGCAAGATCAGGAAGATAACTTTTCGGGACTATTGTCCGGTGAGGAAAAAAGTAGAGTTTAATTTTTCAACAGAGTCAAATCCCCATATTATCTACTCAAATGGAATAAAAATATATTGCTGGTGATGGAATGAAGAGTGTGTTATGTGGTTATATGGTTGTCTTAAGATGGGTTGTTAGGCAGATCAAAGAAATTGTCTCCACAGAATGATTCAGGGTTCCTGCTGGTTCCTTAAGAAGCTGCTGCAGGCTCTTTTATTATTGGAAGCTATGATATTGTACACTTTAGGTTTACAGCTTTAGGTATTTGCATAAACTTTACATTGTACCATGCCACTCACTTAGTCTTTTTGCGGATCTCTTCCACCAGCTGCTTAATGTGATCCTCCATGAACTCGATTTTCTCCTGCTTTCTTGCCAAGGCTTTTTGCAGACGGACTATTCGATCTACGAGCACCGCCTTGTCGACCTCTGGGAAGCTGTCCACGACCATCACAGAAGGACCGGACTGGCTCTCTGGTGAACGCTCCTCAACGCTGCTGCTTCCACCATGGCGTGCATTTAAGGAACCTGAGGGACCGCAGGAGATAAAGACTCGGATCATCGCAGAATATTATGTATTTTAGTGGCTTGATTATGCAACGACTTTAAATATGTTAGTAACAGCATAATGGAGAATAAATATATTTGGATCTTTTTTGTGTTTTTGTCAGAAAGTAAAACATAGGGGATACACTGGAAAGAGATGAAATTATCATGGCAAAGGCAATTTATTTTAATAAATCAGTTTAAAAGAGTGAAACTGTTACAGCCCATTAGGTATATATTATGTGTATTGGAGTGACTGCCCCTTTTTGCAGGTTATGGTGCAGGGGACCAGAACACAGTATGTAGAGCTTCATCTCTTTCCGGCTTTTGCACCGAGATGGATGTGGCGTGCCGCTCTGCTGCTGGGCCTCATCCCTATTATATGACTTTGTCTGTATTTCAGCATAAAATCATTTACACACACTCTGAATGGCTGGTACAAGCACTTGCATTCTATTTTAGTTTATACTATTGCAGGTTTTAGTTCAACAAACGTTATTTTTTGCACCTTTACCTACCATTTGCTATCACACTGAGCCACTCATTCTGATATAAAGTTGATGATAACCAGGCATTTTGTTTCCCAGAATGAAGCTGGAGCTAAAGCTGTGGCAGCCTTCAGATTTCATGTTAGGAAGATAAATGCAAGTATTGCTGGCATGGGTCAAAACAATGTAAAGGTTTGCTGATTGCTAAAGTTTTTTTCAGGCTCAAAAAGGACTAAGTAAACACTATCAGGATGAATGCTTGATGTTTTATTTGAAGGTTAACATATGTTGTTTTTTTCTTTACAGAGATAGTACATCACCAGGCCGTATTAAGTCACTTCTGAACCAGAAACTATGTGAGAGAGAAAAAATTGACTTGGCTTCAAGTTGTTTCAGTTTTAGTGGGAATTTTCTAATTGAGTTCTCTTTTTTTCTGATTTCTAAAGTTGGCACAGTCATCTGCGAAGTCCTTTACTGGCCAGAATATAGGACGACCTCTCTTTACAGGACCAGTTTTCAGGAACAAAACAAAAAGACCAAAACGAACAAGAAAAAAAAGACTATTTTAAGAAACCATTTTATACTGAAGTACTAAAACTTTCATTGATATTAATATTACATTGAAAGATTTATGGAATTAAACTATAAAAAAAAAAAAAAAAAAAAAAAACAGAACACAGTAATGACACATTTAATTGAAATCTTGCAATACTTCAACTTAAATGCAAGTTGAACTTTGGTACAGGAATGTCTCAAAAACCTGCATGATGCTTTTACTGACAGACGCGCTCTGCCTCGCTGTCACTCCGTCTCTCACCCTGCAACTCTGCAATTTTTCGATAAGCTTTTCTTTTGCTGTTCGCATATTTCAGACGGTATGTTGGAACGTGCAATCTTCTGACAGTTCACTGTTTAACTCCTTACTTCTTTGCTGCCTGACAGTTTTTTGATGCCTCCGGTGCCTTGGTAACCATTATTTTAAAATTGGTGTCATAACTCCGCCTCAAATAACTGAAAATTTGTGTGACTTTTGATCCACTCCGTCTTTGGCAGCGACTTTCTATCTGTAGCATCCCTCTGACTTCTTCTCTGTTGCCATAGAAAGATGACCCCAGCCACAGTGGGGACACTGGCTTTACAAAAACACAGCGCCCTCTGCTGTTGCGTTCATGTAGCGACCACAGACAACTGTCAGCCTTTATAATTGGTTAGACTCTGATTATAAGACGATCCCACATTTTTACATTGCTTTTAATGAAAAAAAAACTTGTCTTATATTCGGGCCAATACGATAATCTTACAGAACTTCTGCTGACGAGCTTTATGGAGTTGCTAATTTATATCACTAGAACTAAGCAACTGTCTACACTACCCAAAATACCAACACCTGGTTTAATCCCATGGCTATTGGTCAACAGACATTTTGAAGAAGCGAGCCCAGTACCATCTGTAACAACCACCATTTCTCTGGTCTGAGTACAATTACAATTTCTGCCAAATCTAATGTCATGTCTCATTGTAATTTATCACATAAACCTTATAAAATGTTATTTAAGCTGTTTGTTCCAAGTGCTCTCTTCTCCACTGCAAAAAAGATTTAGAAATTAGCAAAAATATCTTAAACTAAATGTATTTACCCTTAATTTGAGTAGGTAAGATGATTTACCATTGGAATGAGTATGTTTACTCTTAAAATAAGATAATTAGATAATATGCATTTGAAATAAGACAAGACAATTGTTTTTTCTTATTTTAAATGTAAATTGTCTTGTTCCATTGGCAAAGTGTCTCACTTACCTGCTCAATTCAAGAAAAAAATGCACTTATTGTAAGAAAAAAATTATTTATTTGGATTAACATTTTTTGCAGTGTCAGGAAAGAATCGGGGAGAGAAAGTTTAAAGATGTAAACAGAGCTTCTTTTACAAACTGAATTGCTGAAATACATTCATTTTTTTCTGATATTCTAATATAATAGGGAACCCTGATGAATTGCTACCATCATATCTAACAGAAATGATTGAATAAAGAAGTTTAGACTTAGAAGATTATTTGAAATATTAAATACTAACCAAATCTCAGAGCAGTACCTGATGAACTGGAGCGACTGCCCATACTGCTGGCATCTCGATCACATCCTCCATTCTCAACCTGCTCCAGCCTTTTACGGGCTGCAGAGGAAACAAAGCAAAACATATCAAAAATAAAACAAAAACAACAAAGCTGTGCGTAACTCAAATGCTGAAACCATGTTTTTTAGTCCGATTCCTTCTGCATGTAAAAACCAAACATACTTTTGTCTCTAAATTCTCAAGTGTGATTCTATATGTGCACACATGAAGAACAATCTGATTATAACACAATCATGTCTGAATCACTGATGGAAAATTGTTTTTTGAGCCCTTTCAAAGAGCCAGAAGAAGCAAGTATCTAACCTTGCGTTAGTTGTTTGGTGAGGTCCTTGATGTTAGCTGCTTGTTTCCGTTTCTGCGTCACCAGCTCGTCCCTTAGCTCCTCCACTCTGGTCTTCAGTTGGGCGACCTCTGCCTGCAGAGCCGCCCGTTCTCCCTGCAGACCCTGCACCTCCTGGTGTCTCATCACTTCTTCCTGTTTCAGCTTCCGTGACTGCAGATTTATTGAGGCAGAGGTTGTTAATATATTAGAGGACAAATACTATGTGACTGTATCTCAGTTTGCACTCAGAGTATCCTGACCTTGTCGTCCAGAAGCCTGCTGGTCTCTTCCAGCTTTGCTTGGAGCTCCATGAAGCTGCTGCTGACCTGATCCAGCTGAGACTGAAGCGCGTTACTCTCTGACTGCAGTTGGGCATTCTTGCTGCTCAGCTTCTCTGTGAAGCCCAGCAGCTCAGCTTCACGCTCCCTGCTGCCTTGAACATCCCTCTGGAGGTCGACCATCTGATTGGTTAGGCTTTCCACTTCCCCTTGCAGAGAGCTGATCTCCTGTTTGTCCCTGTATAACGCAAAAAACAGGAGACATAATGAATTCAGATCTCAATTAAGCAGGGGATTGAATGTTAATTTGTTAAATAAAAACTGGAAAAAAAACTTGCAAGTGACAGAAATAAAGAAATGTTTACCAAAGAACTGTATACATATCTTTTTAAATACAGACAAAACCCCGAACTTTTATAGAAAATAAAACAGCTTCATTTCCCTGAATCGACATGTGATCATTTGTGAAAGGTAACTTTAAATGCTATTTTAGCATTCAGTCTTTTTTGTTATGAGTTCATAGATGTTGTGCATCTCATGTTGGCAATAATTCTATATTATAAATAGAAAAGAAAAAAAATAAAACTAAAATTGCCTAAAAATATGGGAAGACTTTTCTACATTTAGCTCCATCAGATCTTCTGTTGGATTTAGTTCCAACTCTGGATGCATCTCTAGAATCACTGCATCCGGTTTAGCTAATTATGGGCCTGTAAATTTCATCCACCTCATTCAAAATAACTAAAGCTCTTAAATCGAGACCCTACAGTATGTTGTTGCTCTGATCATAGTGGCTTTTTAAAGATAAAGGAGTTCAAACATTTACTTTTGCATTATAAGAGTTTTTGGGGAAATATTAGCCAGATCTGAGTCTACTTTAGAAATAAAGGATCCTGTTAAGCCAAACTGCCTACCAACCACTTTAGGGACACAATCAAGTGTTGCAGCTCTTTCTGTCATACTTTTAGCCTTTCAGCAGCCTTCCTCACCAGTTTCTATCGAAAGCTTTAATCATTTTGAAAGAACAGCTGATTCCTGCACACAAATAGGCAAATGTCAGGAAGTCCTCATGAGACAATGAAGCCTTATTACAGGTTAATCAGATCACCACTATCATGGTGGATGTGAACTCAATAAGGCTAAATGATGTAATTAAGTAAAAGGTCCTTAATAAGGTGTTAATTTAAGGGTGCGCACAATGGTGTGTTAAATCGGTTCTGCTAATCCTTAAGGGGTCTGAGTGTAAAAACAGAAAGACTATAGCTACATTTATCATTATCTTTAGAATTATTGTTGTTTATTGAAATATTCTTAAAATACTGGTTCAAACATAAACATCCAAATTATTTTAGAATAGAATAGAATAGAAAATCCCTGTATTGTCCCGCAATGGGGAAATCCTGGTGTTTACAGCAGCAAAAAGATTATAGAAAACTAGAATAGAAAATCCCTATATTGGGGTAAGGGAGAATTATAATAATACACAGAATAAATATGTGCAATTGTAAAAAAAAATTGTCACATACATGTTAACCTTAGGAAAATGTATAAGAATAATATTATAGTGAGGAGTTAAAATAAACAACAAAATACTGTACTTCAAAGTATTTTATCAATACAATACAGATATGGACATTTTGACAGTAATGGATATTTTAAAACAGCAGCAACATCAGAGATGTGCAAAATGACAGCGGAATGTTGTTTAATTGAATAAGATAGAAATTGTGCAAAATCAGTATGAATGTCGATGGGAACACTGGGAGGAAGGATCTGTGATAACGCTCTCTGGTGCATTTAGGGTGCAGCAGTTTGTCACTGAAGGAGCTCTCCAGTTCTGCAACAGCTTCATGCATTGGGTAGGAGATATTATCCAACAGAGATGTTCATTTAGTTAAGATCCTTTTGTCTGTGATCACAGAGCTGGCCTTCTTGGTCAGCTTATCCAGCAGCTTTCTCTCAGCTACAGATAAGCCACTGCTCTAACAGACAGCTCCATAGAAGAGTCATTGAAGGTCTTTAGGAGCGCCCCCTGCACTCCAAAAGAACTGTCTCCTCAGAAGGAAGAGTCTGTTCTGATCTTTTTTATAAAGATCCTCAGTATTGTGAGTCCAGTCACAATATGTGACATGTGAGTCAGTAACAATATTGATCCTGCAATCTACTAGCATTTTCAACAGCAATCAAATTGATCACAACAAAAGGAGTTTCATTTTGGGAGAAATCAAATCCAAATAACACGAAGCATTCACACTGAAACAATTGGTAAATTACTTTCCAGCAGTTATCGCCTTAAGGTGTTAAGGCACATAGTACCTCACTCTGGTTGATATAAATTATTGCATCAGTGTGTGGCGTTCTACAGTGTGCTTCAACATTAGTAAGAAAAAGTGTAGAGCTCTACCGTTCAAGCTGGTCCTGAAGTGCGGTGACCTCCTCCAGTTTTTCCCTCTGGCGGCCGATCTCAGCTTTCTGCCGGTTTATGATCTCCCTGTATTTGGTCAGCTCATCCTCCCACCGCGGCCGCTCGTCCTCCAGACACTTTAACTAAAGAGCCAGACACCCTTGTTAAATAAACGACTCGCTAACGAATGCAGCACGGGCAATAATCTGGACGACAAACCTTGGTGCGTAGTGTTTCCAGCTCATCTATGCTCTCTTTGTAACTCTTCTTCAACTCCTCCAGTTGTTTAGCCTTTGCTCGGTGCATCTGGAACATACATTTTTTTTAAATACATATATGCTCTGCCTTAAAAAAAATCCACTTTATTCAGAAAAACATTTCAGCAAATTTTTTTTAACACAGTGTTTTTATACAACAAATGCATTTCTTTGAAAGCCTCCTGTTTCCTGTGTTTATGAATTCATTAGGATGAATCAACGACTTGTTTTTAATGTTTTGCCTCATGTTTTTATCAAAGCCATTATTGCCGTTGCCGCTAGTCAACTTTTCCAAGAAGTCATTAGAAACCTCTGGTATCCACGACGACGCAGCAGTAACGGAGGTGGTGGTAAACTCTGTTTCGTCTATTCATCCTGTCGCATCCAATTTAAATGTAATTTCCCTACCAGTAATGGAGACAGTTCTGCTTGCATAATGAATGATATGGGTGGCATCATCATATGTGTATAAGGTACGTAATATTAAATAAAAGCTTAGGCTGTGGTCAGCCAAGTTCATGCGATGATTTAACATCTGAAGGCAGCTTTGGTTCAAAACTTTACGATCAAAAAATGAATCTCATCAATTAAACATAAAAAATAAAAAGATTAACTCTTATTTATTAACCACAAACATGGAAAATTCAAATGTAGATGTTTCAGCTAAGCTGTTGGCAGCCTGTAAAAAATGATGCAGACCCTGAAATAAATCTAACTGGGTGAGGTCTTCTGGGTTGTTTTTGAAACGCAGGGCTTAATATTGATTATTTCTAGGCCGTTTATTTTTAAAGTCTGATTCCCATTAGAGTGTGGCACTGAGAAAAACAGGCCACAGTGTTTGGACCGAGTCCATTCATTTGGCTGTGTTCAGAGGCGAACTCCTCGCTTCTCTGAAAGCTGAGGAAAAGAGCTGGGAAACAGACGTTTCATACAAATCATTCAGAAAATGGAAAAACCTAAAACATGAATAATTTTTAAAGGACAGTCCCACGCAAAGAAATCCATTTCCTTTTCATTTACAAAAGGATTCAGACCGCCTGACATAATTATTTTTGAATCAAAGGAAAAGCATATGCGGTTTAAAAAAATTATCACAACTTAAAAAAAAAAAAGAAAAGTGTTTGATCATTGATATATATCTTCTTTTAGAATTGAGTATAACCGATAAAACGACAAATAATTAGCAAATAAAGTAAATAAGTGGGCAATTAAATCACTGAAAGACATTAAGAGTTTCAGGAGCGGATATTCGTTTCAGCTTGGGAGCCATTATTAAGAAAAAATAATTTTCTAAAGGATGTGAATGATGCGTTAAGCTGAGGCAGGCCTTTAAGTTTTTTGCCTTATAGATTAACTATAAATTCAGTCTCGATTTTAAATCAAACAAGAGTCAGTGAAGAGAAACAAGAATAGAAGAGATATATTCATGCATTTTCAATCACATCAGAAGTCAAGCTGCAGCGTTCTGGAAAAATAGGAGATCAGACGTTTAATTTAGTTAAAAAGATAAAAATTATTCCATTTTAGATAAAAGTGTCAGTTAAAAAAAGGATTATTATTGTACAGCTGAACATATCTGCTACTGAAAGTAGAAATATGATTCAAGTCTCAGAATAAATGCAAAAATGGATGAAAATCAAATAAGGAATATCTGACAGAAAACGACAAAGAGGATTTTATGAGACCAGGGTTAAAGTTCATCTTCTAGCTACTGTGCTGTGGCTTAGATCCCAGCCTGCTGGTGTGTTAGCTTGACTCACCCTGAGTCTAAACCTAAATCAAACTGTGGCAAAATTGAGTTTGAGCCATTTTATATGAAACATGGAGTACAACATGCAGAAACATGCCCATCACTTTAAACTGTAACCACTTTGGAAGGTGGCTCACACTTTTCAGATTAGTATTTGTAAAATTGCAACAACAAAAAAAAAACAATCACAAAATCTCCCATTAAAAGTCACTTGGTATTAATACTTGTGCAAGGCTTTGTAAAAAGGAAAATATCTATTCTATATCATGTATTAAGTCGCATTTAATTAACAAAAGGTGAGGCTGCAACTTCTATTGACAGCCTATTATTTCTGGAGCCGGGTAAATTAGCTGGAACTAATTATATTTAAATGTATTGGAGCTGAGAAGCTGTTTATGTACCATCTTTTTGTGTTTGTCCAACCCCCCCCCCCCCCCCCCCACCTATGCTTTTTGTCTCTGTCCCTCCCTCATGTTCTTAGGCTAATTTCACTTCAGGTCAAAATGTAAATATTTGTCATTCAATTCTGGAAATAAAGGAAGAAAGCAGACGTACGGAAAGAGATGAGTAAAGGAAGAGAGGTTTTGGTATGTACAAAAACTGCTGTAAGTGTAGAAAACATTAATCACCTCTAATTGGTCTGTTTGCTCCTGCTTGTGTTTCTCCAACTCGCCTTTGGTCTCCCTCAGTTTAGCGTCCAGCTCGTTGGAACGAAGCTCTTCCGATTCCTCAAGAAGAAACAAATCAAAATATTAGATAAAGGTGTAAAAAACAAGTTAATAGATTGTTAAAAACATCTTGTGATATAAAAAAAAACCTTTGTCTGGCGTGTTATGATGTAAAATACTGCAATAGTCAGAAACAGATCAGAATGGTTTCCATATTAGACTGAAATCTATCATGGCTCTTTACTGCCCCCATGAGGTATAAACCAAAAACAATCTTCCATGATTTACGGTAAGGTTTGCTTTAACAGAAGCACCTTTACCTCCCGTTGACCAGTAACTATTCAATAATTTTATACATTTAAAACATTTTTTTAGGCATCTTTCATTATGATCAACCTTCAGTACAAAAAAATAAACCCACCTGATACGTTCGAATCATGTCCTGGCAATTCTTTCGGATCTGTTCCGTCTCCTCTTTGGCCTGAGCCAGCTTTGATGTGGTTTCTCTCAGTTTGTCTTTTGTTTCCTGGAGACAAATAAACATGGAAATGCTTTTTAAAGAGTTTTTTTATGTAAAAAAAAAAAAAAAAAAAAAAAAACAGCAAAGATTTTAACAACACACTCCATTAATTTGCTTTGGTATTTTGTAGGATGCTGCACAAGTCCCCCCACCCCAACAGGCAGATCTGTGTGGCCTTCAGCAGCTCCTGACCTTTTGCACTTTCTTCTGTTTACTGCTGTTTATTCGCCTTGAGGCAGCAAAGAATAACTTATTTTGTAAGAGGTGGTTTGTTTTTCCATCCTTTTTTTTGTAACATCTTTAATGATGACAATTTCCTTTTAGGTTAATTAAAGTGCAATTCCTATTTCACTGCAGCCCACATTCAATTATGTTATTTCACAGACTGTCATCAGAGGAGGTGATCATTTATATGCTGACGTAGATCATCAACAACTACTCACATGTTTTTTTATAAACGCACAGAGCTACATGTTGGACACGCAGAACAGTTTGTCATTTCAATAAAATTAAAACCTTGAATACTACGAGAGCTTGAAATCAGCTTTAGAAGGGCATCTAAAAACAGGAGTAAAAGTGAGTAAAAAATGTTTTCATATTGTGTGTTTTGAAAAGGAGTTCCTTTTTGTGGTATAGGAGCAAATTGAAATGATGCAGAAAAATTAGCAGAAGGAAAAACGTTATCACACCATCAATAAAATAGTATGCATTCCTATGATAATGTAACTATACCACTGATTTTAAGTCCACTACTTTGCTATTTATCTCTCCATTCTACTATAGAAAGAAAAAAGGTATTACATGTGTGCTAAGGCAAGAGGTGGGAAAGTAAGCATGTCTAATTTGGTTGCATTACATGACTAAGGGCATAGTTTTGGCTCTAACTCCTGGGCCCGTTTTCCTAATAAGATTTAACTGAAATTTTCAAATTTTACATTTTTATTTTAGCTAGGAACCAATTAGTCATAGGAATGCAATGTTTAAAGAAAGACCAGGACTTTAATGCATTCATTTTGATTAATAATTATATAGATTTTAACAAGTTTTAAATTTTTTTTTTTAATACATACTAAAGTCCTGAGTGGAAACCTTTGTGTTCAGTTTCTTGTACACCCATAAATGTGATGCACAATCAGTATCACGAGCCTTGGTCAACTGGAAAGGTGTGTCCAAATGTCCGCCCTAATCACTGCATAAGGCACTATATAGTGGTTTACTCCATTCGAGATGAGTGTCCGAATGTCTAGTGGATTAAGAAGTAACGGACTCGTAATTTCTCACAACGCACCTTGAAAAGTAATGATCCTCCAAGGTCACTAGACGAGCAGATATATTCCGGAATGCTTTGTGAGGAGAGCTCTCCTCGCAAAGCATCATGGTTTGTTGTCACAGAGGCCAACAAATAACATAAATGGTGCAGGCACCCATAGGTGGATTAATGACCGGGCCTACCGGGCCCAGGCCCAGGGGGCCAGAGGCCCCAAGGGGCCAGGCCAACTTGGCCCCGCGGCCGCGACCCAAGCAAAACTACTTTTGCAAAAATAATAATCTTAGGCCCCAAGGGGCCAGGCCAACTTGGCCCCGCGGCCACGATCCATAGAGGGTAAGAGGGCCCCAGGGGGCCATGATCCATAGAGGGTAAGAGGCCCCAAGGGGCCAGGTCAACTTTGCCCCGCGGCCACGACCCACAGAGGGCCTGAGGTCCTAAGGGGTCAGGCCAACTTGGCCCCTCGGCCATGATCCATAGAGGGTAAGAGGCCCCAAGGGGTCAGGCCAACATGGCCCCGCGGCCATGATCCATAGACGGTCAGAGGCCCCAAGGGGCCAGGCCAACTTGGCCCCGCGGCCACGATCCATAGACGGTCAGAGGCCCCAAGGGGCCAGGCCAACTTGGCCCCGCGGCCACGATCCATAGAGGGTCAGAGGCCCCAGGGGGCCAGGTCAACTTGGCCCCGCGGCCATGATCCATAGACGGTCAGAGGCCCCAAGGGGCCAGGCCAACTTGGCCCCGCGCCCACGACCCACAGAAGGCCAGAGGCCCCAAAGGGCCAGGCCAACTTGGCCCCGCGTCCGCAAGCCACAGAAGGCCAGAGGCCCCAAGGGGCCAGGTCAACTTGGCCCCGCGGCCACGACCCACAGAGGGCCTGAGGTCCTAAGGGGTCAGGCCAACTTGGCCCCGCGGCCATGATCCATAGAGGGTAAGAGGCCCCAAGGGGTCAGGCCAACATGGCCCCGCGGCCATGATCCACAGAGGGCCAGAGGCTCTCAATCATTATTATCAAAGCTAATTCTCAAATTGGATGGATCACACAACCTCACTCACATATTCTTTATCAATTATTAAAGGTTGTTTCTAAATTTTGATCACAGAACATAATGCAAATATTCTTGATTGATTGACAAAGCTCATTCTCAAATTTTGATTACACAACCTTACTCTGACAAATTATCATTATCAAAAAGCTCTATCTCGAATTTGGATCAAAGAATCTCACTCAAGTATTCTTAGCTGTGCCCCTCCCCCATCGAGTCTTTCATAAACCGGTCTGTTCTTTTAGAATCTCCTCATTTGGTATTTTGAACTCGTGAGAGACTGCTCAAAATTTGGTTTCCTTTCCCTCAGTTCAGACTCAGAGATAATTTGAAATCATTCAACAAGAAGTTTAACGCGCGCACACACACACACACACACTTGAGTTGAGCATTACTTGGAAATTCTTATATTTTCCATTTTGCTGTTACTATCAGCATCTTCCCATTTTGTCCTTCTTTCGAAAAAGTTTACAGTCTGACATTTGTCACTGCTGTCAGTTAATAACTTTTTGGTCTTTGACCCATTTTGTCATTTTCTCGATTCGATCGTCACTGACCACTCTCTCCTGTCTGGCAGACATCGTTGCTGCCATCATAGCTAGCAAGCTGCCTGCAGATAGCAACATTTTGGTGTCCTTTGTGAAAATATTTAGATAGAAGAGAAAAGTGCACAAAGTTGTACAATTATTATCTTTTCAAAATATTTGTTTCACTGTCAGTGTGATTGACCGAGTTTGCCGCTAGATTTCGTGTCTTTTGGCCATACCTGGCTAGCGACTAAAAACATCATTTAGCGACTTTTTGGTTGTGAAGATAAGTGGTAAAAGCAGATCTGCCTGTTGGTCTTCCCACATTTTGCCATTTGGTACTTTGCACTCTTGTTGTTCACTCCAAGGCATTTGTCCCTGCCTTCAGCTAGTCACTTGGCTCTTTTGGAATATATTTCACTGTAATTGGCTCTCTCTCTCTTTCTCCTCAGTACAAATCAGTCTGTTCCCTTGCCATTTAGACATTTTCTTGATTCGATCATCACTGACCACTCTGCTCTCCTGCTGTCTATCAGACGAATCAGTTGATTCTCTGCTCTCAATTGTCTATGCTAGTAAGCTGTTATTCTCTGCTTTGGAGTGTTGATGCTGGGTTGCTAGTTTTCTAAATCACCTCACACACTTGAAGGAAGCAGCACCGATCATAAACACACAAACAAACTCACACACACACACACACACACACACACACACACACACACACACACACACACATAGTTGGTTTATCTGTTGTTATAGGCAAAGAGCCAATGTGCAAAGAAAGAAGGGAAATATGGATCATAAACGTTTAAGTGGAGGAGCTAGAAAAAAAATTCAGCAAGAAAAGAAAAAAAAGGAATCAGTTTTACTTGAGAGTGTTCCAAATATCTCCAGCTTCTTCAGTACAAAGACATCTGCTGAAAGCAATTCTATAAATGCTACTGCAAATTCAGCTAAGGTTAGCAATGCACCTGAGCTAGCATGTAGCTCCCAAGATCCTGAGACCACTACAAGTGTAGACACTGAACCAAATGCTTCTGATGCTTATGATTCAACCAATTCAGCAGTAGCCAGTTGCTCGGATGAATGTGAGGTCACTGCACCTCTGGACAGCATAGAAAATTAGCTGAATCTTTCTTCAACACCATCTACAGTGACAACTCTACCTAGTGATCCCGCTAAATGGGCTGAGACCCTCACTGAGTCAATGAAGGAAGTTCTTATTCAAAGAGGTGCAAAATCATTTCACAACCGTCACAGCCATTATCCAGCTTCTGTGAGGAACAGTGGGCTAGGAGGCAAAACCCGATGCCTAAACAATGAACATTTTACTTCACACTTGCCCAATGGACAACGAGTACAAAGAGAGTGGCTGATGTACTCTCCCTCTACTGGTAATGTTTACTGCTTTGCATGCAAACTGTTTTCCCCAAAAACGCATTCTTTTGTGACAGGCTATTGTGATTGGAAACACTCAGAAAGATTTGGTGAACATGAGCGAAGTGCTGAGCACATAACCTGCATGCAAGCAGTCTTGAACCGCGCCAAAGGTGCCACAGTTGATGCAGACCTGTTCAAACAGTTTCAGGCAGAGAGCAGCTATTGGAGGCAGGTGTTACAAAGAGTTGTTGCAGTCATTAAATTCCTTGCAGAAAGGGGCCTTGCATTTAGGGGTAAAAATGAATCGTTAGGGTCTCCTCTCAATGGGAACTACCTTGGTATTCTGGAGGTCCTGGCTGAATTTGATCCCTTTCTAAAGGATCACATCAGAAAGTTTGGGCAGATGGGTCGAGGTAATACCTCATATCTGTCCTCCACCATTTGTGAGGAATTCATTGACTTGATGGGTGCAAAAACCAAACAGGCTATAGCAGATGAACTGCAAGCAAGCAAATACTACTCTATCATTGTGGATTCAACCCCAGATTTATCTCATGTGGACCAATTGACATTCATATTCCGTTTTGTTAGCAAAGAGGGCAGTGTTGTTGAACGCTTTGTGGGTTTTGAGCCCATTACTAGCCATACAGGTGAAAGTTTGGCTAACTGTGTCATGTCTGTGTTGGAAAATCTAGGGTTAGAGCTGTCAAATTGCAGGGGGCAGGCTTATGATAATGCCAGCAACATGTCAGGGAGGTATAATGGGTTGCAGGCTCACTTAAAGAAAAGCAACCCATTAATACACTATATTCCATGTGCAGCTCACTCTTTGAATTTGGTGGGAGTCAACAGCATTGACAGATGTGGAAATGAAGTCTCTAAGTATTTTGACTTGATTCAGTCTATTTACAACTTCACAACTGCATCCACACACCGATGGGACAGGGTATTTGGCAATTCCAACATAGATCTCACACTTAAAGCTTTATCCAACACGCGTTGGAGTTGCCGTGCAGAATCTACCAAAGCACTGTGGCAGAACTACAGTAAAATAAAAGCAGCACTACAGGTTATTTCCACTGATGACACAGAGAAACGAGACACACGAACTGAAGCTGACAGTCTAGTGCGGAAGCTGGATTCACTTGAGATGGCCTTCATGGCAGGCTTTTGGGACACTGTTCTGTCCAGATTTCAGGCCACAAGTCTGCAACTTCAAAAAGCAGACATGGACCTTGGTACAGCAGTTAGATTGCTGGAATCTCTGCGCACCTTTGTTCTCTCCCAAAGAGATCTATTTGATCATTTTGAGCAGAAAGCCTTAAACATGTTGGGTGGCACCCCATCTTACAGGGCTGAACGGATGAGGAAACGTAAAAAGTTTGCTGATGAATCAGCATCCCAAGATGTTGTGCTTGAGGGAAGGCAACTGTTTCAAATAGAGACATTTATTGCCTCTATTGATCAACTGAGTTCAAGCCTTAAGCACCGTCTGGAGGCCTACAAACATCTGAACAATTTGTTCAGTGTCCTTTTCTCTTTGGATACAGAGTCCAATGCTTCAGTCCTTCACAAGGCCAAGATTCTCACTGAATCATACCCATCTGACCTCAATGAAAGTCTTGGACAGGAGCTTATACAGTTCAAATCTTTTATACAGCTCAACAACACTGATGAGGAGAGGACCCCTTCAGGACTGCTCAAAACAATAATACATTTTGGACTACAGCCTACGTTTCCTAATACATACATTGCGCTACAGATTTTTCTCACTCTACCGGTCAGTAACTGTGAGGGAGAATGCTCATTCTCTCTTTTGTCAAGAGTAAAAAATGAGCTGCGCACAAGAATGACTCAGAAAAGATTAAATGCGTTATCTCTAATGGCAATTGAGAGTGAGCTGACAAGAGAGTTGGACTTCAATGATGTGGTGGATGATTTTGCAAAATTGAAAGCACGAAAGAAACCCCTTGCTTAAAGGTGCACTGTGTAAGATTTTTAGGTTATTTCCAGAATTCACCCATTCACTAATGTTAGGCTACCTGTTTTCATGAATACTTACCACCACCATAAAATTCTAAGTATCCATTATGACTTGGAGAATTGCACTTTCGCCATTTCTGGGAAGTGTCACCTGGATTGTGAAGATAGGATTGACTTTAGGCAGAAGCTTGGTGCTTTCTCTGGCAAACTGAACCTCAAGCTTCATTCTCTGCAGCTTTGCATTCTTGTGCAGACTTTCATCCACAAGGAACTTTTCAACTTCCCCACTATCGTGAAGGGGCCATCAAAAGATTTCAGTGTGTCCAGCATGTCTAGTCTCTTACTCTCCTTTCTTTGAGCCATCTCTTGTTTCTCATCTGCCCTACTCTCGAATTTTGCCTTCATGAATTTACTCCAGTTGAGTTCAACCTCCCTTTTTGCTTGTGCTGCTGCCTTGAAACCTCTGAAGCTCCTGGCACTTCTGTAAAATTATTGACCTATTGACTGCGTTCAGTGTGCCCAACTTCTTCAGTTTGTAGCCCACCTTGCCACATTGTCTCTCCATCCCAATGTTGTGCACAGGGGTGCCATCAATGTTACTAGCCTGTTCACTGACAGGGTCCATTGGGAAGGTCTCCTCATCCATCCTCTGCCTGGCCAGGACAGTCTTCAGATGGGGCAGCATGAGATCTGTCAGCTGCTTCACTTCATCCAAGTATTCGGCAGCCACGTCTGACACTGAGTTCAGGACATGTCCAGTGCCTGTCCAGCCACTATAGCATTCTTGGAAATGGGCTATCTTGACCTTCATGCAGCCCTTGTACCATGAACTGGCCTACACCTTTCTTTGTGGTGCTCTCCGATGCATGTTATCATTTTACCTTTCTCCTTCTCCTCAAGCTTAACCACAAATAGATACAGACTTTGAGCCTCAATTTGCTGCACAGCTGCCGTTATGCCAAAGTGTTTTCCTAAGATATTATTTTATTTTTAATGATAGAAGGGAGGAAAAGGGGGCAAAAATCATGTCCGATTTAGTTTTTTGGGTGGGGTGGGAGGTTTATTTCATGATAGCTACCAACTTCCAATACATAATATCTCTCAAATGACCCAATGCACCATCATTGAAGTGGGAATAATCATTTTCCAAAATGTTTATTTTTAGGCCATTTATCCCCTCCCCCTGTGTCTGTGTGAAACCTGTGCTTGTCAGTGTCTGTGTGGTATACCTAATAGTGTGTGTGTAGTATGTGCACTCTTCTGTACAGGACAGTGTGCATGTCTGTTCACAGTATACAGTATTTCTTGCATAGTGGGTGCGTGTGTGTGTGCGCCCGCACGCGCGGGGGGTTGAGGGGCCAAGACCATGTCAGGCCCAGGGGGCCAAAATTTCTTAATCCGCCCCTGCAGGCACCGTGCAGGGAGGAGGAGTTACACGACCATCTGGGAGCGAAAAGTAATGATCATCTGTCCAAACTGTAAGTTAATAGAGTTCACTATTAAGTCCACCTTACAGTCCCCACTCCATATAGTGATTGAGGGATTTAGGAGTTAGGAGGGATGTTTGGACACAAAATCTCCAAGCTTAAAATCCCTTCTCTGTAAAACTCATGTGACAGCACCACAGATGTTAGTGACGCTAATGTCAGCTTTCATATCCGTTGTAGAGATTCTTCAACCAGCCCACATTGGTCCAGATAACGAGCTTCAGGGCCAACATGGCCGTTTCCTTAATTCACAAGAACGCGAGAACAGACTCGTGTCCTTGCCAAGCACGTTCTTGACAAAAACACAGAAAAGTATGGACTCGGGGAGAATGGGAACACATAGCATGTGGAGTGGCGGCCTAGTGGTTAGGGCATAGGGGTTGGAATCCTGAGGTTGTGAGTTTGAAACCCACTCCAACAGACTGACACTCTGGTTCTCTGAGCAAGACCCTTAACCCCTTATTGCTCCCCGGGTGCCCCACAATGGGGATGGGTTAAATGCAGGGAGTTCATTTCGTTACTCTTTACTTGTGTAATAACAATAAAAAAAAAACTGGGAAAAAAACCCAAATCTGAGTCTATTGGCACAGAAGTGTAGTTGTGATGTCACCACACGCTTGACTCGTCACATAAACACATATCAAATAAACATTTTGCTAAATAAAGCATAAAACAAAAAAACAAAAACAACAAAAAATCGCCATCAGAGCCAGCAGTACTTCAGAGACGGCTATGCCGTGAGAGGGCTGCTGCAGTCTGCTAGGATTAGACCTGGCTGTGTCCTTGCCGCGGTCCTCTCAACATCGGAACTTTTTTAAATTACGCACTAAATCAATAAATGGGCCATATAGTGACGCTTAAAAGTATAATGTTCTCGCCTTTTATTGAACAACGGCAACAGAAAAGAGAACTTTTAACTTAATACTCTGAGCTCTGTGAGCGCTTCAATGGAAGCTGCTGCCGTGCTGCATGCTGTGACAGCTGTCAATCTCACGAACAACAAGTCTGCTCTGATGCATGCTGGGTAAAGAGGGAGTGACGAGAACAACATCTGGAACATCTGAAAGAGCACTATTGTCATAGCTCTGCTATCAGTTATAGAAAAGGAACTTTAACTTTTGTGTACAGCTCCAGAAAATATCAATGCTTTCTTAAAAAAACAAACAGATAACTATGGGTGAATACCCTAAATAATAGATAAAAACAAAAAAGAGAAATTTGAACATTGTGTTGATGTGCTCATGTATTTTTTTCAATAATTTAAGAGCAAAGGGGGGTTTTGCATTGAAAGGGTTGTTTATTAATTTGTCGATATACGCCTTTCAATAGAAACGTGATGAAATAATGAAAGACAATGTAATTAACTTGATTACCAATTTCAATCATTCACACCAGACTTCTAAGATTGGGGCTGAGACTTTACCTTATGAGCATCTGCTTCACTCTTTAGTTTGTTCTGAGCCCATTTGACTTTGATTAGATGAGAGTTGATCTCCTCTTTTAACTTTTCCACCTCCCGTGTCAGTCGGCCAACCTCACCTTCCTGTAAACAAAGGGGTTAGAAGCGTAATAAGTCACCAACAATAGGAGAAAATAGAGTCACATAATAAGTGCTAATTGAGATTACAAATGGCTGCTTTCAATTTAATACCATGTTAAACTGATGTGGCTTAAGACAGAATTTAAATGCAAGCTTAGTCTTGCATTTAGACTGCAGCGGTCATAACAAATAAATATGCTATTCAATAAATATGACCAAAATAAATCGAATATCGTTTTTAAGGTTAAGGAGCATATAATGATCCAGTAACAGCAAAATCCATAATATATGTAGTTAAACACAACACTTATAGGACATTTCTAAGGAAAAATAACTATTTGCATTCTATAAATGGAGAGAAATTCAAATCTTATGGACCTTTGCGTCATAAAGCTGTTGCAGCCGTCCCTTCTCCTGAGCCAGCTGATTTCCCCTCAGGGCTTGGCGGTCCACCTCCTTCAGGGCTTCCCTCAGCCTCTTCTCCAAACTCTCCTTATCCCTCCTCAGGTCCAGGGCCTCCTTCTCTCCTCGCACGTACTTCATCACCATGGCCTCCTTCTCCTGCCGCGCCTCATCACACTTCTTGTTCACCTTTGTTGGACGACAGTCATATTCATTTCAAAGCATCATTCAGAGCTGCAATTCAATAAATGAGCTAATGGTCTTCCAGTCTATTCTATTTACTAAACTATAAATGTATACAGCCAAAGAGGTATATTTTAAGAATGTATTCTATTTAGCTTGCAGCCAAAAAAAAAAGAAAAAGCTATACTCTACAATACCATGGAGAAGACCGCTGACACCACAGCACTGATACCTTCAACAATCGGTTTAAGCAACAAAGTGACCCTGGTAGGGCAGCTGGCTGCTATATCCAAGAGCATTAACAGAAAGTTGAGTGGAAGGTAAAAGTGTGGCAGGAACAGGAGCACAACCAACAGGGATCGGAGAATTTATGAAGCAAAAAGCTTTCAAAACCGGTGAGCCACAGCGATAAGTTCTTCTTAATGGACTTACTAGACCGATAAATGTCATATTCCCTGTTTTAAGCCGCTCCTGAACCAAATAGGAGGTCAGAAGTGTTTTGCCTGGACAAAGGAGAGACAATTACAGCTCGGCTTTCACCAAACCCAACATTAGGCAGTAGTGCAAAATTTCACTAGGAAAATTAAATTAAAAAATATATATTTTAATAAAATATGTGAATACCTTTTTTGAGGGAAACATGATATGGCTGTAGATCATAAAAATAATAATAATGATAGTAATTTGGAATAAAAATAAAAAATAAAAAAAACTTTTGGGTTAACTTTCTGATAAATTAGCCTCTTAATATCCACCTCATTTTGGGAAATTCTCACCCATTTTGCGCACCCAAATGGAAAAGCAAATAACTTAGGAACTGTAAGCCCAAATTACATGTGTGATACATTATTTGAAAGCTAACACCTTCTAGTTTCTGAATATATACATGGAAATTGGGTGAGTAAAACACCCAAGCTGCATCAAGCTAAAGCTGCATCAGTTCAAAGAAGACTCAAAGTTGTTTTTTTAATTCTCGAAAATAAAAGGTCTTTTTTGAACATCAGTTATAAAGACATGCTTGTTTGTTGTGGCTGCTTTGTCATGGTACATTTTGACATGCTGTTATATCTGTGTTAATTGTGCTTCGGTGCTTGCTATGTACGTAAAATGAACTAGGAGGTTGAATTGTGGAGAATCTAATCTTTCCAACGATGTCTAACATGTCTATATTGGTAAACATTTTACCAATGTAATTTTCATGCATTCTTAGTTATTATTTGCAAACGCTTTAAACAACCTAGTGGGTTTTGAGAGGTTAAACCACATATGTTATAATATTGTAATTTCTTTAGATTCCCCTCATATTTACTTTTTTTGACCAAATGCTTTAGTTTTTTTTTTTTTCTAATTTCGTTTTTATCTTTTTTTTCTTTTATGTTTTACCCAATTTTATTGATGTAGTTGTGTGAATGTTATTTTTACCCATGTTTCTAGCTGTTTTATTTTATTAAATTTTTTTTTTATCTGTACTGTTTTAAGTTCTATTTATTTCTTTTCTTTTTCTGTACAGCACTTTGCTCAACTGTGGTTGTTTTTAAGTGTTTAAACAAAAAAATGGATTAGATTAGAATTGGATACTAAATATAAAAAAAAAAAAACCTATTAAAAGTCCTTATTTCTTCAGTGACAGACGCCATATTCCAACAGGAAACAACTGTTTATCAGGTATTCTGCATTCAAAAATCCATCTCTACCTCTGTGGTATCTTCATTGTAAAAGAACAGTACTTGTCACTTTGTCATCTGCCCAGTTGACTTCTAGCCAAGCACCATTGATGGAGCTTCAGCAGGATTAGACCCCAGGAATACACAAACTGACTGGACTTTTAATCGTGAGCCTTCTTTCTCTTTTACTCATTTTGATGGAGTCAAACAGAAAAATCAGAAAGAGGGTGGCGTTTCCAAGCAGGATTTATAAGTCTGCTGTGCATCCTTTACATTTTGTGGTTTGATATTTTCTGCCTTTGGTAAAATGATTGGGCTTCAGCTGCTTAGTTTTACATCCAGCAGAATGTGGAAGCAATGCATAACCTGCACAGTTTGTTTTAAATGTTATGAAAGGAGAAAGAAAACAGTCTAAGCTGAGTTGGAAACAGTTATTTCATTTTAATTTAAGAGACTTGAAAATTCTGTTATTTCTAACAGATCATCAACTTTAACATAAGTGAGAATATGACTGTGGATTGGTGAAAGCAAAGAGGGAAAAGCAGCACAATCTAACTCGTGTTGTTCACTGAAGGGTGAAATTAAAAACTGTGAAGTGTGACAGAACTGCCAGGAGAAGAGAGCCTTGCATGGCTTAAACCAGGTGAGGAAAATCAGGATGAACAATATGTCTCCAGTACTATTTCTTTAGCTAGAGGTTTAACCTGGGCCCAGAGGAAATCATCTTCCTCCTCCAAGTAAGAAACAGACACACCGAGAAGTTTTACTTTTTCTTCCCTACTCTGTTTTTAGTGTCAAAAGAGGCCACATCGACACTGAGTTTAACCCAAGCACATGCATACAAGACATTCTCATCAATGGAGTACAGATAATGTGATGCGCCATGGCAACGGGAGGAGCATCTAACAGCTCCAACCGCACCCAAAGAAAAAAGGAATGAGAAGGAAAAGTGGGTGGAGTCCCTCCAAGAATGCCTCCTATCCTTATTGGTGTTCTTATGCTCTGTGGGTGTGGCCACAAATCCAACTGTTAAAGGGTCGAATCAGTCAGGAAATTGAAGATTCACATTTCAAGATTTAGATTTTAAGATTTGGAATAGAATTCAACTTTATTGTCATTACACTGTCACAAGTATAAAGCAAAGAAATTAAGTATCTGCACTTAACCCATCTTCTTGGGGAGCAGGGGGCTGCCATTGTCTGGCGCCGGGGGAGCAGTGTGGGGTTTAGGGTCTTGCTCATGGCCCCAGAGTGGCAGCCTATGGGATGATTTGGACTAGGACTCAGAACCTCCGGGACCCGATTGCAATGCACTAAACACTAGTCCACCAATCCCTGTATATTTATCTATTGGATATAAGTTTTAGATATAAATTAAACAACTTAAACAACACATATACAATTTATGTATAGATATAGGAATTAGAAAAAGATTTAGCAAATCATGAAATATAGATATAGATTAAAGATTTCTATTTAGCTTTGAGCATCCAGTGTGAAAAAAAGCCTTAAAGTTAAAGAATGCGTGGTAACTATGTGACATTAAAATTATTTTTGATAAATTTTTATATTCTGCGTACCATAATCTTTATGTGTACAGCGACGATGTTTATTGGTGCCACTAACAAAAAAATGTAGTTTGTAACAGAACATCTTCTCAGTGTAACATCAAAATGTTCTTACATGAGTCTTATGACTCTCTGAAAATATTGAAATATAATGTCTTTAATAAAACAAAAAAAGAAAAGATGTTTCTTTGGAAAAGATAAAACATCTAATCAAGTTCTAATAACCCTCTCTGGACAGAGATATCTTCCAAAATTCTGTGCTACAACATCCACATGTTCCTTCTGAAAAGGAAACACAGTTTTCAACACTTCCCTGTGCAGATCTAAGCTAAAAAAAGTAGTAAACAATTAGGGTTACTTGTAATTTGTTGTCATAATTTTGCTCAGAGTAATGGCTTCCTAGGTTTCTAAAATGGAAAGCCAAGGTATGCTGGAATCCCCCCCCCCCCCAGTACTTACTCTGGATTTCCACTAACCCTGCTTTGTGAAATAAGGCCCAGATGTAAGAGGATTCCAGGTCCTCCATCTTTAGGCTACTAGTTCTGTACAAACATTCACAGCTGATATAACAGCAGGATTACAATATGTTCTGCAGCAAAATGATGGTTAGAAATAGCTTTTCTATAAGCAGCAATGCTTTTAGTTTTTACAAATATTTTTTTAACATTGTGTGTGCATTTGTCTTCTGCTTTGCACATTCAGAGATTAAGTCCAATCTTCTTGGCAAAGGAGAGGACTTTGTGAAAACAGTATTTGAACAGAACTGTTCTGATCTTGCCAGAGATTCTCAAATGCTTTTACCGTGACTTTGACTAGGCCTTTGTCTAAACGGATCCATTGTAGCTCACGCTGTTCCCTTCCAGCAGGTCTTTATTCTGTTGGAAGGTGAAACTCTACTATCTCCAGTGCTTTAAACGGTTTCTTTTATATTTAAATTTTTGTCTTTCTTTGAACTCTGACCAGATTTCAAGTACTTACTTGAGATAAGCATGAATTTATGAATAATCTTGAACTATGACTTGTAAATTATTTGAACAATGGATTATAGGATTAAACATTTTCTTTCATAAAGCAACGCCCTTGAAATTGCCTTGATATTATAGAGAATAGTGGGAATTAGCTCATAAAGGTCAAGGTGCACCTTTGCATAAACCATATACAAGTCAGAAATGCTAAATAAGGGTCCAGTCCAGGGACTACCAAGCTGTGAGACTGGAACATTTTCAGGGTAATTAGATCCCAGCCATACCTGTTCTATCCTGAAAGTGGTCTCTCTCTGCATCTGCTGCAAAGCAGCTTTGGCTGCTTGATCCTGATGGATCAATTTCTCTCGCGACTCCTTCAGCTCTTTCAGCAGCTCCTCCACCCTCCCCTCCAGCTGCAAAAACAGGGAGGAAGAAGAAAAGAGTAAACGGCTGTTTGATCACACCTCAGCAAACTTGCTTTTCAGGATTTAAGTAGAATGTAAGGATTGAAAGCAAATCAGTTTCACAAAGAAATGATAGTGGGGGGTTAGTTTTTTAAACCTGCAAAAATCTTTTTTTTTTTTTTTTTTTTTTGTAAAAGAGATAATTTACTTGTAGGACTGAGTTATGATTGCTTACATTTAAAAAAGAAACCTTTGATTTTTATTGTTACTAATTAAATATTTGCTAATGAAAAACAATTTTCTTACATTAACAGTTTGGAAAGCTGCAAATCATCTTTAAACTGACTAAAAAGGGTAGGAAAAAAAATCACCTAAAGCTAAAGTCTACACAAAAATTAAAACAATTTGATAAAAAAAATATTCAGTCTTTACATTAATAGGAAGAAATGTTTTAGTATTTCAAATTCTCATAAACAGGACGACCACCAGTGAGCACAAATCCATTGCATTAAAAAAAAGAATCAACTCAAATATTCTCAAATACAATGTTTTCTTGCTAGAAAGTCATGACATCATCAATTACGTGTCAAACATGGCTTGGTACCACAATTAAAATATATTGGAAAAGACTGATGGATGCAGCTGTCATGATTGATGGATGCAGCTGTCATGATTTATCTGTTGGTTTGTCTTCTGTCTTCTCTAATTTGCACAACCCTCAGAGCAAGCTATTTAGTGTTTACCTAACATGAACAGTGGCTAAGTGTGTTCATAGTTGTTGTTTCACTCATTCCCCCCCCCCAATTTTTAAAAGAAAGAAAAAAAAAAGAGGCATAGGAGTTTATGTTTCTTCATAAATAGCCAAAAAAGCAGATCTTTAAAGAGGGGGCAAAGTGATTTGTGTGTACAAACATTTTTTCTCTTCCCCAATTTGCAGATTATATTCTAATGACCAAACGGCAGAAATTCAAGATTGAGGATATGCAAATGTAAACATTTACCACATGCAAAGCAATATTCCAAATCTAAAACTCAGATGCGGTTGAAGTTTGAGACTTTTTTCTTACATTTGACAATCAACTGCAAACTGACACGCAAACAATCTTCTCCATAAAAAGCACAGACTTTTTAAAGTGTATTTCTGTCAAGATACTATTAATGACACCTACTGTACCTGCCGGATGCATTACAAGAGATAGATTGTAAAAAAAGAGGAGAAACCATTCAAGCTAATGAAGGCTAAAAGCTGCTCTGAGCAATAAAACACTTTTTAAAACAAAAAAAATATATACATATCTGTAGAATCCAAAGCTAAACTAATCATTTAATGTGTAGATATCGACTAGACACAGTAGCTAAGCTTGCAATGGCTTCCTTAGACAAACAGCGTCCATATCACTTGATTAAAGTTACATCAGGAGAAGCTGACTGTTGCATCAATCTGCCTAAACTAATCCAGCTCATCAACAAAATTATTTATTTCTTCATATATATATATATATATATATATGAGAAAGCATTGCAATGTACCATGACACATCATCTCAAAAGATGTGTCTTTATGGTTTAATATCACAAGAGCACAAACAATGGCTGTGTTGAAAGCAATATTTGCCACGTGTGTGGAGTTAACATTTGCATGGCTACATGAAATTCAGCCTGCTAGATGGTGTTTTACTGCAGCAGCACCCCACATCTGAAACAGATTATCAATAATGCTGCAAAAATGACAAATGAAAAAGCCAACGTAGAGCAGACCAACAAGCTGCAGCTGATAGGGCAGATGGATTCATTATGAAGTCATTCCACTGAGAAGACAGAAACAAACTAAATAATCTCTTGTCAAAGTTTCAATGTTTATAGTGAAAGTGTTTGGAGCTGTTCAAAATGACTCCAAATGGGGAGTTAGTCTGACTAGCTGTTTGATTTCCTAGGTTTTGTCTACAGGCAAGGAAATATTTGCTGAGAATTACTTTACAGGAAAGGAGAATACAGAATAAAATACTGACCTTTTTAATAGAGCCCATGTGCTGCTTCTCTGTCTCTGCTCTCTTTTTCAGCTCTTCCTTCATATTATCTTTTTCCGAGCAGATCCCCAGGATCAGCTCCTGATGTCTCTTGTTCTCCTCAAGCAACCTAAGCAAAAAGGTTAAAAAGCTTCTTAAAAATAGGGGCTCTTAAGGGATAAACGATCATTGGAAGGATTTTATTCTATATAATTTACCTCTGAATAGCCTTCTCCTGCTGAGTGCATTTGTACTGCACACATTTCTCAAAGACCATCATGCAGCCGTCCTGGTCTGCTGGGAGTCCATTGACAGGCGAGCTCCCTTTCCCCTTTCCTCTGCTTTCCCTTTCAGACAAGCCACAAGCTAAAAGCTCCGACTCCAGTTCATCCAACAGCGACTCTTGTGACAACGAGCGTTGGATCTGAGAAATGAGCTTTCGACTGCAATCAGTGTCATAGGGGCTTGATGAGGACTGTGAGGGGAGAGGGACGCCAGAGCTGGTCTGTGGGCTAGAAGCTGGCGAGAGGCTGAGTGTGTCTGAGCTCGGAGTGGAGGCTCCATTAGAGATCCCAGAGGTAGAAGAGTCTATGGGGGAGCTTTTGGAAGTGCTTTGGACAGAATGGAGTGAAGGACTTTCAGCATTGCTGCTGCTGTCTGCAGTGGGAGACTGTGACGGCTGCTCACTGTCAGCTTGAGATGTCGCATCAAAAGTCAAAAAGGTCTCCACTGTACCTTCGATAACGGAAGGAGAGGTTTCTGCAACATCATGACAGGCAGAGGTAGTCTCATTTGAAAGATGGCCAAGTGTGTCAGTCTGAACATCAGCGGTCGTCTCTCCTTCATCATGATAGTCCACACCGCATATATGAGCTCCATCTCCGCTTTCCAGCTGTTTTTCCACTTTTTCCTGATTGCAAGTCTTCACCTCATGTCCACTGTTCTGAAAAATGAGCTCCTCTTCTTCAACGCTTGATGTACTTGTACGTAACACGGCTCTAGGGTTTGAATCCTCTGTAGACAATTTATCATCTGATGCTTCCATTTTCTGTGCATCTGTAGTGGGAGCAGGCTGTTTCATTGCCGCTTATGTTCAAATCTGGCAGCAAGAAGGCAAAAAAACAAAAAAGTAGTTAAAAAAAAAGGAAAACAAGCTGGCTTAATGACAGTTTATCTGTAAACAACAAAAAGTTCCTTAAAATCATTCATACGGTATCCCTGAGCTATTTATATGTTGCATCCTCCTGATCGGTACTTCGTAGATCATTCATTACCGAAAGGAAAAACCTGAAGAATGTCCACAGACACACTAGAGAGCTGGGACAATACACAAAAGAGGTGTGTCTTTTGCCCCGCCTGTGACAGGATTACATTTGCCGGAAGGCGTGTGACAGAGAACGTCACACAGCTGTGATTGTTATTCAAGATTACAGTATCTATTGGCTTCATTCGACACCTGAAACACTTGCAGCATGGGCCTAACATTTTAATTCACCTATTGCCTCAAATCAGAGAATTTTTATGAAAAAAGTTACACCCAAACAGATGTAGGTAGGCTGAAGCAAAGAAGTAAATAATAAAAAATAAAACTAATACATTAACTCTTATCCAGCACTAGAGTGAAAAGGGGCTTATCAGCATTTACTGTGTTAATGATCACTGGGTACATTTAGTGTGAGTGGAGGCCTTACAAACTTTAATAGTAATTTATGTTTTTATTTACCTTTTTTTTTCCCTTTTACAGCTAAAGCTCTTTATGCTCCCAGGATCACTAACCCCACCCATTTCATGCCCATCCTCTGTTAATAACCCATATCCTTTTACACAAGTAGAGAACAACACAAACCAATGTTTAAATATTATCCCAAAAGATCTTCTTACAGAGTGAAATATCTTGATTTTCACTCATTTTGCTGTTTCTATGTGAAAACCTAAGCTAGTACTTACATAATGATGCTCCTCTGACAGGTGTCGTGCCACAACACCTAGCTAGTACCATCATAAATCTACCACTTCCCCTTTATAATCGATTACATAACAAAGTTAATTATTTGTAACAATAAGCAGCCAAATGATGATCATTATAGTGTTTGATCTTTTATTTACATTCCGTGGCATTTGACGTTAGCTCTACCTGTCCCTCTGACTTGTTAGCATGCTAGCCTGTCAGTTAGCTTCAGGGCATCGGGGCTAACTGTTGGGCTACTATATCAGCTTAAACCGCATATAACAAATAAACAAAGAAGCAACGATGTTTAATAATGAACACGCGGCAAGGTTGACATGTTTTAACGTCATATGTTGTTATTTTATCCAGTTAGCTGAGCTAAAAATGATAACACAGACGTTAGCTGAGGCTAATGCTAGCATGCATCAATGACGTAGGGTGAAGCTAAATAAAGATGGTTGTATTTATACCCACCAAAACCCAACAAGTCATCGTGTATGTCCGTGCAGTGACGGTCAGAACTGCCCGTTAAAGCAGCTGATCGCCCAGCTACAGCTACTCACTGCTATGACACATCAACAAATATGGCCACAGTAGAAGGAGATTGATAGAAACCAATGAATGCCCGCTGACAAGTGACGTCGCTCTGACGTTAAAGCACAGAACAGGTACACCTGCAGGTATTTACAAAGGAAAACCATGAAAATGAAACCACCCTTGCCTCCTCTGCTTAAAAAAAGTAACAATGTTTTATTTTCTCATCTAAATTGTTTATTTTGCTTTCATTCTTTATATCCTTCCCTTTTACTTCAGATAGTGACTTATCTGTATGCTTTTATTGGATTATGACATATTTTATTTCCTTATATGAATATAAAAAAAGGACAGACTTAAACATAAAAAGACATGGTTCTCCCACAGATTCTGAAGGAAACATAATATTACAGTTGTGTCAAAATGTTTTTAGAAAATCAAAAGATTTTTATTTGTTTACATTTCATCTACAGGTAGTTTACTATGAAGAATAACCACAAGAAATGTAATCATTTACGCTGCAACTGGAATATCCCTTTGGACTGTTTTAACAGACCTTCAAGCATCATAAGAACAATATCATCCTTAGTTCTGTGGAAAGAGTTAATGGGAAAAGCTGATTTAATCTTGTTGCTCTGATTGTATCTGTGGCTGACTATTTTTAGTCAGCCATTGTTTCCTCTGAGGCAAAATAGCCGTTCATTCTTGATTTGCATCAAAAAGACTTGAAAGACAAGGATAGTTCTGTGTGTCAGGTTTCACTCAAATTGTAATACTCTTAAAGTGGATGAAAGCTTCAGGGTACACAAGAAAGCCCAGCAATAATCACGTGGTCCCCACCAGTGCAGAGCTTGCTTAGGAATGATAGTGGATGTGTATGTGTTTGGTTCTATAGACATAAACTCAACTTTATTTATCCCTTGGGATTACTCCTTCAGGGAAATTCTGGTTCCAGTAGCTTATATAGAGTAAAAAGAGTTAAAGCAAGATGCCATTAAAGATAAAAAAAAAAAAAAAAAAATGCCAGACAATATAAAAAGAGTGTATATAGTACAAAAAAAAAGCATTAAAAAAGAAAAAAGTGGTAACTTCCTGGAATATGTTTCCTTAGATATAAAAAATCTAAAAAGTAAAGTATAGTCACATTGAGATAGAGACTAATGGTGAGAGGGAGCAGGGACCCCCTAATTATATGTTTTATATTATAATATGTTATATCAAACTTATCCCTCTATCAAATATGGAGTAATGTAACAAACGTAATTTCTCCCTGGGATTATTAAAGTATTTCTGATTCTGATTCCTCATTGATGGGACAGGTGTTGTGAATGAAACTGTGGCCAGCTTGAAAGAGCTCCTGTGTGTCGCTGAATGTGTGCATTGATGACTGAAAGACATCTCCTGCCTCCATTTATCTCTTTACTACAGTGTGTTGAATTCATGTTAATATGCATTTAAAGACATTTCAATTAGTGGGAAAAAAATGCAGAAGGGGAATATTAAAAAAAAGTCTAATCAACCAAAATTTTCGCGACCCCCATGCAGTACCTCTGTGGACCCCCTGCTGAAGACCTCTGCTTCAGGGTGTTTGGAAAAAGAAGATGAATGAAAATTGTAAACATTTAACAATCGTCTCTTTGAGACACTAGACGCATTTTACAGAAGTGGAAAAAAAGGTTTTATAGTCACAAACTGAAGGGAAATCTTTATAAAATCGCAATAGGAAAGAGCCAGCTTAGAAACATTAAATATAGCACATTTTAACCTAGCAGGATTAAGGGTGAGAACCCAAAGATAATTTTTATCTGTATGATTCTTTACAGTTAAATACTTATATACTCTATACTGAAAAGAATTCATTGTAATACAAAATACATACAGAAAGCGCAATGGTGTAAATATCGGTAAGCAGAGAATGCAGTTGCTTACGGCCCCCGGCCTCTTACGGGCCCCGTCAATGACACCTGGTTGACCCCCTTCGCAATTATGGACTAGGACATCTGATTGCTGACGTAATGAGGCAAAAAATTCCTTAAAAAAACCCACCTGACTTTAAAATGGCTGACTGGAACTTATTTATACCCCAACACATGCCAGATTTCACATGATGGTGAGCCGTTGAAACGCGACACCAATAGCAAAGCAGACAGTGGTACTTTTAATTACTATGTTAATAACTGTGTATAGTTCATTAGACGGTTGGTAAAAAATACGCTCATATATGTTTCAAACCGCAATATAGATTTTAAAAGAAAAATGTATTTGATTATTTTATAATTATTATTGTTACACCACAACTTGGAATTATGGGTAATCCAGAGTGTTGTACTTCATATGGGCTATGGCAAGCTTGCCATACTTCCAGGAGGATGGTTCCTAAAAAATTCCTTACTGTCAGGAAAAGTTAAGTCAGCGTGTGATGCTTTAAATTTTGAAATTTGAGATATCTTGAAAGGAATTTTGACTAGGCAAAATGTAATTTAAGATATCTTGAATTATTATTCTTCCTAATCAGAATATAAATACAGATATCTTAAATTATCATTCCGGATAGTCAAAATGTGGTTTTGTCTACTCAAAATGTATTTTAAGATATCTGGAACATATTTATGGATGGTCAGACGAAACCGAATTTATGTTAAAAAGGCTTGCCATATTCTGCCTAGTCATTATTTGCTTTTAAGATATCTATAATTTAGTTTTTACTTGTCAAAACTGCATATCTCCTATCCTACAATACATTTAAAATATCATGAATTATAGTGCAATTTGAGATATCTTTAAAATTATGACTAGTCAAAACAAAAATCGAGATATCTTGAAATTACTTTATGACTAGTCGTAATTTAATCGTAGATATCTGAAATGTGTATTTCAGATAGCCAGTAATTCATTCTAGATATCTTAATATGATGTCTCCATACAGGTTAATGGTAAATCTGACATCATTTGGACTAGTCAGAATGTAATTAGAGATATCTCGAATAGGAATTTTGACAAGTCAAAATATAATTAGAGATATCTTAAATCGCTAAAACGTCTAGTCATAAAACGTTTTGAGATATCTTGAATGTAAAGGCAGTACAACCGATTTATGTGAAAACTGCTTGCCATAGCCCCACCCTAATAATGTTGCTTAGAGGCCTATTGTTATCTCGTTACGCCATTGAGAAAGCGTTCGATGATTTGCCTTCCAAAAAATAAAACAGGATTGACACTATTTTTTGAACACAGAGAAGGTTCCGATAAACATCTCTCCGCGTAATTAACGTTCAAGCGGTTTTGATTTTGACCTTCTGGTGACGTCATCACGCAGGTGCCGCGCTCATTTTCTTCTCACGAGCAGCCCGAGAACGTAGGTAAATTTGAGCGCCCAAATGCTTAACACATTCTTTAAATATTAAATCATAACTTTTGATGCTGACAGCTTTGCTCTCCTTTACTTTTAAGAACTTTCTTAAAGTAGCGTTTAGCAAGATAGCTGACGCACGTGAGCTTTAATGCTAACCTTGAGTTAGCTAGCTAAGAGCGTTTTAATAAAAGTACTTTCCCTCGTTATTCAACGCGCTGAGCTGCGAAACAAAATATTATTTTGCTATACCACTATAGACATGAGCGCTTCTTATCCTACATCCACGGTTAAACCCACCCGGCCGCTGAGGAGACCTTTGTCCAGCCCGGGTTTGTCTTTACTATCCAGGCAAAGATTCCCCGCTGCTGCATCTGCACGCATCCCTGAAGATGGTAAGCCTAGGTGCTCCCTTTTTACATTTTTTGTTTTTAAATTCCTCTTATTGTTTTAATTTGGTACATTCGACAAAACAAAAGCCTTTTTATTAAATACTTTTCCCAGGCTCCACCACTTCAACAGTAAGCAGAAATGAATCGCTGGTATGTATCAAATTTTTACTGCCATATTATCATGTCTGCACCAACAAGAGGTGAGATAAATGCTACAGTTGCTACAATTGACATATATGCATGTAAAACATAAAAGGATAACATTTAAGAGTCAAAACTTCACTTTAAATTAAACCTGTATATCAATGTATGATAAAACAAAACAATTTAACTGTTCATTTTCACTAACTAATAATAATTTATAGATAAAGGCAACTTAAAATTCAGTCTATTAGAGCAGCTTTTTTTTTTTTTTTTCCCAAACCTGATCCACAAGGCACTGCCCTGCGTGTTTTAGGCGTTTACCTGCTTCAACACACCTGATTCAGATGATTGGAGTTCTGGAAACCCTGTTAAAGGGGAACACCGTTTTTTCTTTTTCTTACATTGGCCTCTTGATTTTACGTTATTACATCATGTTCTACTTACCCATATGAATTTTGTGTCATTTAGAGCTGTTCAGAAGATATTCTGTTAGGTTATATCCAAGTAACGTCTTTGTATGGGCAATGACTTCAAGGCACAAACTAAACTGTTCATAGTTAATCATTTATGGTATGCCAGCATTCATAACATGTAGTCGAATCACTGTCCCCCAGACATCTGCGGTTATATTTTTTATATTTATATCTTTTAAAAACAAAGCGGTGTGTGTATGACGTCATCCGCGGGCGTCGGCTACCGTTCATTCATCCTGTCCGCTGAACTGCTGCTAGTTTTCCTCACATGCCTGGAAGATGTCTAGTGCTACTATCACAGATGATCTCGCTCTCGAAATGGAATTGAACGATTCAGATTAGCTAGCCGAATGAATACAAGGGGTAGAGCGTAGCCGCCTGTGGCCCGGGCTGCCTGTCACAACTCCAGTCCAGCGCGTGGATGACGTCATACACACTCCACTTTGTTTTAAAAAAATATAAATATAAAAAAATATAACTGCGGATGTCTTGGGGACAGTGATGCGCCTACATGTTATGAATGCTGGGGTACCATAAATGATCAATTATGAACAGTTTAGTTTGTCCCTTCTAGTCACTTGCCCATTGGAAGACGTTATTTGGATATAACTTAAGGGAATATCTTCAGAACAGCTCCAAATGACACAAAACTCATATGGGTGAGTATAACATCATGTAATAATGTAAATAAAAAAAAATAAATAAAAAAAAATGAGTTCCCCTTTAAACT